GCGCCACTTAAACCCAGTTCTGCCAACGCCCGATACAGGCCCGATTGAAGGTTTCCATCCGCGACGCCTCGCCGAGGGCGCCCCGTCGCTAAACCAGGCGCCACTAAACCCAGTTCTGCCAACGCCCGAGCCAGGCCCGACTGAAGGTTTCCATCCGCTGCGCCTCGCCGAGGGCGCCCCGGGTGGCGCCAGCAGCGTCCCGCACGGCCGCTCGAGGCCCGCCAGCCAGGGCCCGCGGGCCACGAGGAGGGCCCCCGGCTCCTGCGGGAGGCATCGGGCCTCCCACCTCCTCCCCCTCCCCCTCCTCCTCTTCCTCCTCCTCCCCCTCCTCCTCCTCCTCCCCTCCTCCTCCTCCTCCTCCTCCTCCTCCTCCTCCTCCTCTCCCCTCCCCCCTCCCCCTCCCCTCCCCCTCCCCCTCCCCCTCCCCCTCCCCCATAACCCTCTCCATCCTCCTCCCCCTCCGCCTCCTCCTCCCCCTCCCCCTCCTCATCCTCCTCCCTCCCCCTCCTCTCCTCCTCCTCCTCCTCCTCCTCCTCCCCCTCCTCCTCCAGATGGGGTCCGAGAACGGCCAGGACAGCCTGCTTGGCGTGTCGCGCCGCCGGCTCCGGTCCACCACGCTCCGGCGCGACGCGTTCGCCGCGTCCCAGGCCCCAGGCGTCAGCTTCCCGACCTTCTCCCAGCCTCCTCCTCCTCCTCCGCCTCCTCACTCCTGCCCCCCCCTCTTTCCGCATCCTCCTCCCCCTCCTCCTCCTCTCCTCCCCCCCTCCTCCCCCTCCCGCCCATCCCCCTCTCCCTCCTCCTCTTCCTCCTCCTCCTCTCTTCCTCCTCCTCTTCCCCTCCTCTTGCCTCTCCTCTCCCCTCCACCTCCCCCTCCCCTCCCCCATTCCCCTCTCCATCGGTGCCCATCCTCCTCCTCCCCCTTCTCCGCCTCCTCCTCCTCTCCCCCCTCCTCCTCCTCCTCCTCCTCTCCTTCCCTCCTCCTCCTCCTCCTCCTCCTCCTCCCTCCTCCTCCTCCTCCTCCTCCTCCTCCTCCCTCCTCCTCCTCCTCCTCCTCCTCCTCCTTCTCCTCCTCCTCCTCCTCCTCCTCCTCCTCCTCCCCTCCCCCCCCTCCCCTCCTCCTCCTCACCTCCTCCTCCTCCTCCTCCTCCCTCCCTCATTCCTCCTCCTCCTCCTCCTCCTCCTCATCCTCCTCACGCCTCCTCCTCCTCCTCCTCCTCCTCCTCCTCCTCCTCCTCCTCCTCCTCCTCCTCCTCCTCCTCCTCCTCCTCCTCCTCCTCCCCCTCAGCTTCCCGACCTTCTCCCAGCCTCCCGCCACGCGGAGCGGAGCGACATGCTATCGCATGCTGGGCCTCCTCCCCTCCTCCTCCTCCTCCTCCACTCCTCCTCCTCCTCCTCCTCCTCCTCCTCCTCCTCCTCCTCCTCCTCCTCCCCCTCAGCTTCCCGACCTTCTCCCAGCCTCCCGCCACGCGGAGCGGAGCGACATGCTATCGCATGCTGGGCACAGCGCGTCGCCGGGGCCGCCGCCGCGACACGCTGAGCAGAAGTTCCCGACCGCAGATGGGATCGGATGATCGCACCGCGTTGCCGATGCCCTGCGATGCGGCTCAACGTGGCTCTCCTTTTTCTCCACGTCGACGGTGGCGGTGCATCGCCGACGTCGCCAATGCACAGGCGATGCATCGGTGAGCTTCCCCCTGAAGAGTATGTCCGATTGCTCCGGGTCCCTCGGGGTTGGCAGTCCGACCACGGTTCCACTGTTTGCTTGCTGCTTTGCGGCCAGCACCGCGCTGTCCCCCTCGTCTCGGGTGTTGCTAGAGGTGCTTCTGGCCCAAGGTGCCACCAGGATTCCAAGGAGGTCCCCACGGCCTCCAGAGCACCCCTCACGAGGCCAAGAGGGTCCCAGGAGCTCCAAAATTAGGCGAAAAGCTGTGAGCACATTGAGCCAGGGGCACTTTGAGCAACCCCCGATCGTCTGGTGCGCCCAGATCTCGTCAACAATCGGATAGGATTCCGAAAAATATTTGGGTGACAGGCCAGTGGAAGGCGGACTCGCAGGAGGTTCGGGCTCCCGCAAAGGGTGTGTGTGTGTGTGTGTGTGTGTGTGTGTGTGTGTGTGCGCCGGGGTATGTGTGAGTTCGATCGGTTTTTGCACCGAACCACCCCAAACAGATGCCCCCCAGCCGCCCGCAGCTCCCGATAGTTTCGGATAGGTGGGGCATGCGGGGGGCATCTGTTTTCGGCAGTTCGGTGCACCAGCGGATCGAACTCATGCCCCCCCTCAGGGCCCCCCCCCGCCCGCTTTGGCGGATCCCGACAGGTGAAGGATCAGATTGCGAAGAATATTGCAGACCAGACGGTGGAGCATAGAACCGAGATCTTCCGGGCGCAGATTCAAGCGTATTATGCCAAGTGGGTGCCAATTGGCTCCAACATACGCTATCTATCGGTGGTACATCCTGGGAGCCTGGCATGTCCTCTGAATCTCCGTCTTTAGCGTCGGCTAGCGTCGGGGAGTCGAAGATATAGCGCCGATGTGGCGTCGGTTAGCGTCGAACTAGCGTCGATTAGCGTCGACTCGGGTTGATTAGCGTCGAGTCGCAAGAGCCGACAAGATGGTATGGGAGGCTCCCATGAGTTGCCACCGAACTGTCTAACAGATGAGGATGTGGACGACTCGGTTCGCAAGATCTCCATGTTACTGGCAGCGAAAGGCATCACAGATGTGGATAAAGCCTATTTCAATCTCCGTCCAGGTGCATTCCGAGCTGATGTTTGGAGGCTCATGCAGCTATGGGCTGAAGGCGGTGTATACTTGGACGCAAACATAAACCTCACGCATGAACTAACCGATTGGATTGATTTCTCCAACGATGAGCTAGTAGTCGTTAGGGACACAGGCGTGAAAGATGGAATCTGGAATGCGATGATGGCGGCTGAGCAAGGTAACCAGTACCTTCAGAATGCACTTGCGGACATCACTAGCCATATCCTCACACATTATTACGGGACAAATCCACTGGCAATTACAGGTCCGATTGCGTTGGGTTCATCATTCATGAAAGATCACAGATACCCCAATGGCTTACGCTGCGAACTTGAATGGAAAGGCGGAAAAGTTAACAACACAAAGACGGCAGAGGTTGTGGCGCAGAAAGATGAAAAGTTGCACGACAAGGACCCGAGCAAGCATTACGATCCGATGTGGCGCCACCACCAGGTGTACTGCGACCAGAGGGGGCCCACACCCGACAATGGCAAGTGCCCAGAGGGATCCTGGCAGAACGCGGACGGGAGCGTCAAGTACGTCGACCATGTGGTTCATCACAGCACCGTCGCGAGCCATGCGGGCCATGCGGGACATCAGGTCGCAGGCCACGGCTACGAGACCCGACGGCGCAGATTCACCCGCCACACGACGACACGATGAGCCGACCCTGCTCGGCCTGCCGCGCGGGCGTGGCCCGCCGCCCGGGCCGGCCTCGCACGGACGACCCCCCCGTTGCCCCTTGCGCGGCGCTTCGTGCGGTGCCGAGGCTGTCTTCAGCCCCAGGGCAGGAGCACGATGGCCATGGCCAAGATGTCGCGGCAATCTGTCGACGCCGACCTTGGTCCCGGCGCATGCCGGCCGTCGCCGATGTTCGAGGATGACCCACGGATTGACGATGACCGAAGGAGGACGATGATCAGTACCAGTCTTGGTCATGGTCTTCTCAGGGGCAACGATAGGGAGGGATAGGCATCGGGAGGGATGCATCGAGCCCCGATCGCCCATTGATCGCCGATAGGGGTCTGATAGCCCCAACCTGCCCGGGAGCATGCGGATTCACCATCGGAGGCCCATCGCTGATCTATCGGCGATATACCGCCGATTCCAGCTCGGTGGTCCTCCCTCATGCCACTCACCCTTCTCGTTGCCCCTCGTCCCCGTTCTCTTGCCCTCCGTTCCAGTCATATCGCTGCCCCTCGTCCTCGTTCTCTTGCCCTCCGTTCCAATCGCGTCGGGCTCGTGCCGTGTCGACGCGGCAGCGCCCCCCCTGGTGCGAGCGCTCCTGGCTTCGAGCGGCGCCCGCGCCCCGGAGTCGGCCGATGTCGAGCGATCCCGCGCTGTCGGAGGGGTGCGATCGCTCAAGGCTTAAGTCCGGCGTGCCCCCCTTCTCTACAGGAGGAGTACTCACAATGGTCAAGGAACAGTCAGGAGACGATTCTTCGAGTATGTGCTGACCATGCTCGAACATTCTTTGACTATCTCTTTTTCGTCCAAGATCCGCCTGTAGGGGGACATGCCCGACCTAACTCAAGGCCGAGCGATCCGCGCGGTGCCAGAGGCCAGGGCCGCAGTCGTCACGGCACGAGCCGGCCGCTTGCGCGCGTTGGCGCTTGGGCGCTCGCCAGAAGCGTAGGCGGTTCCGCGGAAATGGCGCGGCGTCTCCTCCTCCTCCTCCGCCTCCTCCGCCTCCTCCTCCGCCTCCGCCTCCGCCTCCACCTCCTCCTCCGCCTCCTCGATTTCCTTGTCCTCCTCCTCCTCCTTCGCCTCCTCGATACCCTCGTCCTTCTCCTCCTTCACCTCCTCCTCCTCCTCCTTCACCTCCTCCTCGTCCCTCGGCGAGAAGAAAGCGACACCTCGCGCCGTGCTTCGGCCAGATGTCTGTTGGCCCTGGGAGGGGCCCGAAGCCCTTTCGTACTTTGGGCACGCGAGATCAGAGAACGGCCTGCCAGCAGGTAAAGTTGGCACGCGAGATCAGAAACCGGCCTGCCCCGCTCGAGTTCTGGAGGCGTTCAGCGAGGCCCGAGGTCCCCCGAACGACTTGCCCAGAGAACTCTTACGGTCGGGCCAGGTATGAGATTGAGGTCGGCTCGGGGAATGTAGCCTGATGTTTTTCGTGTTTGTTGGATGTTTTCTTGTGCATCCCGGTGGAGGGTGCGCTCGAGTGATCTTTATGGTTTGGAGTGGTTTTGCCGGAGTGTCTCATTCCCAACCATCCTGTGGTGTTGGGTCTTCGTTTTGCAAAGACGGTGCCCCGCGTTCCTTCCTCCTTCCCGCCCTGCCGCCTCCTCTTCTTCCTCCCCCTCCTCCTCCTCCTCCTCCTCCTTCCTCCTTCCCCTCCTCCCTTCTCCCAGTCCTTGTCCCTGCCTTCATAATGGCTCTGTTTCGGTACACTTCTCACACGTTTCGCGGCCCCATAGGGAGCCCCACCTCAGCTCGCAGTGGCGCAGTTCGCATGGCGCCGCCGTCCCATTTTGGTACACCCCTCTCACGTTTCGTGGCCCTATAGGGATTTCGAACTAAGGTCCCAGTGGCGCAGCTCGCATGGCGCCGCCGCCCCATTTTGGCACACCCCTTACACGCTTCGTGGCCCCATAGGGAGCTCCATCTAAGGTCGCAGTGGCGCAGTTCGCATGGCGCCGCCGCCCCATTTTGGCACACACCCCTCACACTTTTCGTGGCCCTCTAGGGGGCCCAACCTCAGGTCGCAGTGGCGCAGTTCGCATGGCGCCGCCGCCCCATGTTGGCACACACCCCTCACACGTTTCGTGGCCCCCTAGGGAGCTCCATCTATGGTCCCAGTGGCGCAGTTTGCATGGCACCGCCGCTTCATTTTGGCACCCCTTACACGTTTCGTGGCCCCACAGGGCGCTTCGCCTAAGGTCCCAGTGACGCAGTTCGCATGGCGCCGCCGCCCCATTTTGGGACATCTCTCACAGGGGCAGCGGATCAGTCGGCTGCGCGAGTTTGAAGGCCAGACGTCCGGCCGGAAGGAAATTCGAAGAGGCCACGACAACCGCTGAAGGGTCTTGAAAAAAAAATGAGACATCTCTCACACGTTTCGTGGCCCCACAGGGAGCTCCACCTAAGGTCCCAGTGGCGCAGTTCGCATGGCGCCGCCGCCCCATTTTGGCACACCCCTCACACGTTTCGTGGCCCCCTCCCCCTCGGCGCCCTCGGTGCGCGCTCCGCTCCCCCGCCCCTCGCCCCTCGCTCCTCGTTCCTCCCCGCTCCACCTCCCCTTCTGTTGTAGCTGTGGAGACAGGCGGCCCTCAGTGGATCCCGAGGTGGTGGGAGAAGGTCCAATCGTTGGCCCAGCTTCGGTGGTTCAAGAACGGGGCATGGAGGGATTGCGACCCAAGGATAGGACGGGATCCATTGTCTGAGGCAGCTCGCCCTCAGGACACCACCCCTCAAGACCCCATCTTTGAACCACCAGTAGCTGCCCTGACGCGCCCGCTTGGAAACGCAGCGCGTGCCGTGTTCCACACGTCCGTGTTAGCACGCTGCTTGTTGACTCAGAGTGTTGGCCCACGTTTTGCCGAGCGTACGCGTCAAATGTGCGTCTTCGTCCTCGGTATTGAGCTCCGTGTCAACACGCTGCGGGGTTGCGTGTTACGGATTGGGGCAGCAAAGCTCGATGGTTTGCTCGGGTTCAGTTTGAAGATCTACGTGGTCTGCGAGCTCTCTGGCCGTTCCGCGGCCGCTTCCTCCTTCGTTCTTGCCCCCTCTTGGCTTTCTCCCTGATTAGCCACGGGCGCGTTCCGCCCTTGGCCCGACAGCTGGTTGACACGAATCGCCGCAAACCAAACAGCTTTTTTTTGTCATTCTCTCGGGGTAAGCTTGGACTTCGTCGGCGCCCTTCTTATCTCATCTAGTCCTTCCCCCCATTCACTGGCTCCGCCGCTCCGGCACCTGCCTCCCGCAGCCGTCGGGGCCGCGTCGCAGCGTCCGCCTTTTGCTTTGTGGGGGGCGAGCCCTTCCCGACCGTGCTCCGAGAACCATGGCCGCCGACCAGCCCAAGGTCGACTGGCTGGGCATGCACGACAACGCCACGTCCTTCCTGTACAAGCAGGATGGGGCCAAGGATCTGCGCTCTCCCTCGCGGGACAAGTCGAGGCAGGATCGAGGAGTGAGGCTCGGCGGCGCTCTTCGATTCAGGACCGAGGGAGGATCGACGATCGATGCCCTACTTTGGCCCCTGGTCCGATGCCTGGAAGGTGCCACCAGCACCAGCATCGGGGGCGGCCTTCACTGGTGGATGATTCTCGACTCATGATGTTGGTGGTGATCCTCAGGCTGCCAAGCAGTCGTGAGCTTTACCACCACCGCCGAGATCGTGGGTCATCCCTCCCTATGTGGAGGCCGTGTTGGTGCTGCTGGAGCCCCACGGCAAGGCTTCCTTCGGAATGTCTGGGCAGAACGCGCCCCATGACTGGTCCAGGTGTCGATTGGATCCATAGGGGGCCCGCCCAGACCCGGTGGCGGCTCGGACACATTGTGGCAGAGAGGTTGCTCGCACTTTGCGGCCCTCGCGGGCCGTGTCTGGGCCCCAGGAGCGCCAAGAGACGGCTTGAAGCGCCTGCTCTGCGGAGGGTGCTGAGAGCTCCTGTGGGTGGGGGATTCGATTCGAACCAGCGCAGTCGTCGGAGGGCTGGGTGAGGAAGTAGCCGGAGAAGGCGGAGAAGGAGCAGGAGGGGGAGAAGGAGGAGGCAGACCAGGAGGAGGAGGAGGAGGAGGAGGAGGAGGAGGAGGAGGAGGAGGAGGATGAGGAGGAGGAGGGGAGGGAGGAGGAGGAGGCGGAGGAGGAGGAGGGCGGAGGCGGCGGAGGCGGAGGCGGATGAGGAGGAGATGAGGAGGATGACGGAGGCGGATGCGGAGGCGGCAGAGGAGAGGAGGAGGAGGAGGAGGAGGAGGAGGAGGAGGAGGAGGAGGAGGAGGCAGAGGAGGAGGAGGAGGAGGAGGAGGAGGAGGAGGAGGACGAGGAGGAGGAGGAGGAGGATAATGGGATGAGGAGTAAAAGAAGGAGGAGGAGGAGGAGGAGGAGGAGGAGGAGGAGTAAAAGACGGAGGGTGAGGAGGACGAGGAGGAGGAGGCGGAGGAGGAGGAGGTTACGTCAGACTCCCGCAGGGCCGCGATTCGACCGGAGGAAGAACAGGGGCGGCAGATTATGATGATGATGATGATGATGATGATGATGATGATGATGATGATGATGATGATGATGATGATGATGATGAGGTTGATGCTGATAATGATGATGATGATGATGCTGATGCTGATGCTGATGCTGATACTGATGCTGATGATGATGATGCTGCTGCTGCTGATGCTGCTGTCGCTGATGATGATGATGATGACGCCGATGACGCTGATGCTGATGCTGATGTTGCTGATGATGATGCTGATGATGATGCTTATGATGGTGATGCTGATGCTGATGGTGATGGTGGTGATTCTGCTGATGGTGATAGTGATGATGCTCAAGCAGATGATGATGCTGAAGCTAATGATGATGCTGCTGCTGATGATGATGATGATGACAGTGGTGATGATGATGCGACTGACGCCCATGATGCTGGTGATGAGGAGGAGGATAACGACGGTGATGATGATGCTGAAGTTGATGTTGATGTTGATGATGCTGATGATGATGATGATGATGATGATGATGATGATGATGATGATGATGATGATGATGATTATGATGTTCATGTCGCGCTTCCCCCTTCCGCCACCCTCGCACAGCGTCGCCCCCGCCTCCTCCCCCACCCCCAACCGCCCGCAGGAGTGCCGGGGGAGGGTGCCGATTCGGCGGGCGGAGGGCAGGTGCAGATGCCTCAAGTCCACCTCTCGCTCTGGGTGAACGCTGGCTTGACGCCTTCTCTCTCTGTCGCAACTCACAGTCAACGCGCCCGGTAAGGACGCGCGCCTTCATCTAGGGTGCCATTGTGTCCTTGCCTCTGCGGCACGTCACTTGCCGTTTTCGCTGGGCGCCCGCCGCCCCCAAAATCCGAACTTCGGCCTCCAAGGGCCTTGCGTCCTTACCACCCGTCCTTCGTACACGCCTTGACTGCAGTCTACGTCGCCCCGCCCGCCCCGCCCCGCCCCGCCCCGCCCCCGGCAGGACGACTCGGACACGGAGGGCGCGGGCGGCAAACGCTTCCTGCCGCCGTCGAGGACGGTGAGGCCCGCGCCCTTCGCAGCCGGGCTCGCGGCCCGCCGGCGGCTGGCGGCGAGACAGCAGCTACAAAGCGCGTACGGACGAGGAGGAGGAGGAGGAGGAGGAGGAGGAGGAGGAGGAGGAGGAAGGAGGAGGAGGAGGATGGCCGCGTCCGGTGGACCCACATGCGTAGTATATATTTATGTATATATATATATGTATATATATATATATATATGTGTATATACATATATATATATATGAAACAATAAAGAAATAAAATAATAAAATACCGCCCACCCGCCCCCCCGGCCCCGGTTCCACACGTCCCCGCGACATCTCGGGACCGCTCCTGGTACCGCTCCCCCGGCCTTTCCAGGGAGCCTCCACAGCGCTCCAGGAGGGCCCAAGACGCCTCCTAGGAGCACCCAGAATGCGAAAGGATGGCCTAAAACGCTCCCAAGCAGCCCAAGTCAGCCTTCCGACGGCTCTCGAGGCTCCCAGGTCGCCTCCAAGAGACCCCAAGGTCAGAGAGAGAGGCGTGCCGGGACGGCCCGAAGAGGCCAAAGTCGTAGATTTTCATTGTTTCTTCAATGTTTTTGACTTCTCGCGTTTTCGAGCTTCCAACGGTCCAAGAGCGCCGAAGAGGCTCCCAAGACCGCCCCAAGAACACCCAAGAGACCCTCAGACTCAGGACGGCCCCAAGACGGGCCAAGAAGGCTGCAAGACTGCCGAAGAGGCGCCCAGGACAGCCCCAGACCACCCCAGAACAGGCCCAAGATGGGCCCAGGAGCGGGAGCAGGAGGCTTCCGGAGACCTCCGAGAGGCCTCCAGGACCACCCAGAGGCCCCCAACACCCCCCCGATCCTTTAGAGGCCCCAAAAAGACCCCGACGAGGCTCCAAGAACAGCCCAAGAGAGCGAGAGCCGTCCCGAGAGAGCCCAAAGAGGGTCAAATCGTTGATTTCCAGCGGTTTTTCTAATGTTTTTCGCCTTCTCACGTTTTCCCGTTTCCAACCCTCGAAGATCGAGGATTGTGAGCAAAAAAAGGGGATTCCCAGATTTTTTTTTTTTTTTTTGTTTTCAAAGTGGGACTCCTACTCGGGGGTCCTACACATCCCCTGACATCTGGCCAGTACTGCGCCTCCCGGCTTCTTGGAGCCCCCAGACTGCCCCAGAGAGCTCCAAGACGCTCCCAAAAGCCCCCGGGGGACTTCGACCAGCCCCGCCAAGACAGCCCAGATAGCCCCAACGTGGCCCAAGATGGGCTCCAGACCGCAAATACACAGCCCAAGAGGCCTCCAAGAGGCCTCATAAGAGTTCCGAGAGGCTTCCCGAGCCGAAGAGGCCCAAATCCTTGATTTCCACTGTTTTTTATGTTTTTCGGTGTCTCGCGCTTTCGATGTTTTCCGGTGTCTCGCGCTTTCGAGCTTCCGACGCTCCACGACGGCCGACGACGCCCCCATGACCGGCCCAAGACTGCCGAAGAGGCCCCCAACAGAGCCCCAAGACGGCCCCAGGGAGCTCGAAAGTTGCCCCGGAGGAGTCTCAGACGGCCCAAGAGAGCCCCAGGGTCCAAGCCGGGCCACAGAGCGGGAGTGTGAGGCCCCAGGATGCTCCAAGACGGCCCAGATGGCCCCAACGTGGCCCCAGATGGGCCCAACACGGCCAATACACATCCCAAGAGCCTTCCAAGAGGGCCCAAGAGAGCTCCGAGAGGCGTCCTGAGAGAGCCCGAAGGGGCCCAAATCCGTGATTTCCGATTATTTGTTTCAATGTTTGTCGCTTTCTCGCGTTCTCGAGCTTCCAACGCTCCAAGACGGCCGACGGCGCCCAGACCGCCGAAGAGGCATCAAAAACAGCCCCAAGACGGCCCAGGAGAGCCTGAAGACTGCCCAAGAGCAGCCCAGGACTGCCCAAGACAATCCCAGGAGAGGCACAAGATGGGCCCCAGAGCGGGAGCGGAAGGCCCCAAGGCGCTCCATGACGGCCCAGATGATCCCAACGTCACGTGGTCCCAGAGGAGCTCAAGACTCAGAGCGTGAATTACCTACCCCGCTTTCGCTTCCAGGAAAAACCAAGGCATACCACGCGCCTCCTCGTCAATCGGCCTGACCAGTACAGGCCGTAGTTTGGCATCGTTTGGTATCTCTTGGAAGCGAGGGTGGTCAAAAGCGAGGTAGGTTTGTTTTCCCCTTAAAGGCGGCAAACACAGCCCAAGAGGCCTCCAAGAGGCCCCAAGAGAGAGCTCCGAGATACGTCCCGAGAGAGCCCAAAGAGGCCCTAATCATTGACTTGCATTGTTCTGTTCGATGGTTTCCGCTTTCTCGCGTTCTCGAGCTTCCAATGTTCGCAGACAGCCGAAGACGCCCCCAAGACCGCCCCAAGACCGCCGAAGACGCCCCCAAAAGAGTTCCAAGACGGCTCCAGAGAGCCTGCAAATTGCCCACGAGGAGCCCCAGACGGTCCAAGAGGCCCCAGGGCAGGCCCAAGATGGGCCACAGAGCGGGGGCGAGAGGCCCCAGGGCGCTCGAAGACGGCCCAGATGGCCCGGGCCTCCCCCCTCCGTCCCTCCTTCCCTACCGCCCCCTCCCCTTGCTTCCATTCCCTCCTCTCTCCTCTTCCTCCCCTCACCCCTCTGCTTTCGTGCTCCTCCCTCCTCTCCTGGGACGGCCCCGCCAGAGCGCCAGACAGGCCTCGCCAGAGCGAGTGGGGCATCGCTATACCGTATCATTTCACATGTTGCTTTGCCCATCCCACCCCTCCAAGGCGGCCCCGGCAGAGCGAGAGGGGTGTTGCTATACCGTCGGGGCCTTGAAGAAGGAACCCTTTTCGTTGGGGAGGGGCTCGGTGTTCCTCGATTGTTTTGCAGTTTCCCTCAGGTTTCCCATGGGAAATCGAAGTTTAACTTAGGGGAAAAAAGGGGCCTCGTTCCTCATTTGGGGTTCCTTAGGTCAACGCCCCGACTTTACCATATGCAGTCCTTGTTCTGTCTTGCTCCTCTCACCGCACCCGAGGTAGCCCCGTCACAGCGCACGAGGTTTGGCCACACTATCATTTTCCTAAGGTTTCGTGCTCGTCCTTCCCCTCCTGGGCAAGCCCCGCCAAAGCGCCAGGGAACCCCCCGCCAGAGAGAGCAGGGCACCCCTTACACCGTACTCTTTCACGCGATTCTTGGTCCTCCCAACCTTGCAGGGCGGACCCGCCCGAGCGAGAGGGGTGTGGCTACAGTATACAATTTCTCAGGTTTCGTGCCATTCCCTCACCTCTTGAAAGGCCTCGCCACAGCGCCCAGAAGATACCGCCAGAGGCCCCGTCATGTCTCCAGGCGGCCCCATACACTTGACTTGCCATGCAAATCGTTGAGACTTCCTCGTGGGCCCGACCCTTCTGCTCCTACGGGCGCGATTCTCGCCAGTGTGAGGTCTGGCGTCCAGCACACAGAAGCTTCCTCACTCCCGTGGACGGACTCGACAACAACTGATTGCAGAGAAAGGCACGGATGACCGTGACATCTGCGCGCGCCCTCTGCAGATACCCGACATCTGTACGACCGCTGACAACGAGAAGCCTGGAACACAAGGAGGAGGGAAAAAACAACGCGCTCCCACGGGCGCGCAACGAGGCCCCGAACCAACCCCAACATCAGGAGCATGCGGATGTTTGCGCGATCGGGCATGGGGAGTCCGAGAATATGTGCAAAGACATTGAGTGTCACGACGGGGCAGAGCGGAAGTGAACGTGGAGAACAATGCAGCTCGATTAACCAAACATCGTGGCAGCGAGATTGTGGGATACGCGGGAACGTGGCGCCCCGCGTTCTGACTACGCGTTTCTTTGCGTCGATGGCATGGGCCCGAGAACGCTGGAAATCGTCGTTGTGGCTACAGCGGGGTTTACAGTGGCACCCGTGGCTCATCTGCGACTAGTACCTAAGCGCGCGTAGCGCGCGTGGTTTTGGTGTGTATATGTGTGTGTATATATATATATATATATATACTTGTATTCACACGTGTGTGGGTGTATTGATGTACGTACGTATATTGCAGCCGTGTATCATGTCTACTTGGGAGACTCTACGTGTACACGTGTGCATGTCTATATACATGTCGGCGGTCGTGGCCGCAGAAGGGCAGGGGCCAGAAACGCAGTGAAAGGCTCGCGAGTGCCCGAAGATTTGGATAGGATGCGGCATGGAGGACACGGCAGAATGTGGAACAGCGACGTGGGTTTACCAATGACCGTGTCTTTGGCACTATGGAAGGAGCCGTGTGAGGGCATCTGGTGGCTTCGGGACCGTGTCGCAGCGGGGCTCGACGCTGAAGTTGTTTTGCGCCGCCGCTCGCTCTTGGGAAGCCTTGTGTTCAGAGAGTTAACGTCACGTGGACCTTCCTGGAACCTCCCAGAGCCTTCTGAGGGCCCCTGTGGAACGTAGCACAGTCCTGTTATGGCTTGGGCCCGTCTTGGGGCGCGTCTTGGCTCAGCTGGGCTGTCTTGGGGTCATGTTCGGGTTCCTGGCCCGTTTTGGGCTTGTCTTGGGGGCCTCTTCGGGTGTTTTCGAACTTTTGCGGTGTCCATGCGGGATTTTTTGGAGCACTCTTTTGGGCCTCTTGGGGTTCCCTGAGGGCCTCTTGGGGGCCTCTTAGGGCCTCTGCGGCGCCTGTTGGCGGCCTCTTGGGGGCTTCTTGGGGGCCTCCTGAGGCCATATCGGGACTGTCTGGGCTCGGGCCAGTTTGAGACCCTCTTGAGCCGGTTTGGGGCTCTCTTGGAGGTCTGTCGGGCCGTCTTAGGGCGATCTTGGGGGCCTCGTGGGCCGTCTTGAAACGTCGGGAAGCCAAGCACGGGAGAATTCAACAATCCCCCACAAACCAACGGAAAATCAATGAATTTTGCCTCGTGGGGCCCTCTTGGGAGTGCTCTTTGAGGCCTCTTGGGACGTTTTGGAGCGATCTCGAACTTCTGTGGGGTCCTTGCGGGATCTTTTGGGACTCTTGGGAGCCTCCTGGGGCTTCCTGGAGGCCTCGTCGGGGCCTCTTGGGGCCTCTTTGGGGCCAGTTTGGGGCCCTCTTGGAGGTCTGTCGGGCCATCTTAGGGCGATCTTGGGGGACTCGTGGGCCGTCTTTGAGCGTCGGGAAGCCGAGCAGGGGAGAACTCCCGAATCCCTCCCAAACCAACGGAAGATCAATCAATTATGCCTCCTGAGGCCCACTTTGCAGTGCTTTTGGAGGCCTCTTGGGACGTTTTGGAGTGATCTTTTGAGGTATGGCGGCTCCTTTGGGGTCGTCGTCGACCGTCTTGGGGCTCTCTGGGGTCGTTTCGGGAGCGTGCCGGAACGCCGGGAGCCCTCTGGGGCCGTCTTCGGGCTCTCGTGAGGTCCTCGGGGGCTGCCCGACAGGCCCGGGGTGGGCCAAATTCATGAGGGGGGGGGGGGCGATTTTTCCTGGGTCCCCGGCCCTATACAAATATATGAATAGTAATGTCTATATACCTATACGACCACCCTTCTGGTGATGGGGGAGAGAGGGGGGGAACCAACATCTGACCCAATGGATCTCGCTATCGATCTCACTCAACGGGACACCACGGGACACCACTGGACACCACGGGACACTATCGATCTCACTATCGATCTCACTATCGATCTCACTCAACGGGACACCACGGGACACCACGGGACACCTCTCGATCTCACTATCCGTCTCACTATCGATCTCACTGTCGATCTCACTCAACGGGACACCATAGGACACCTCGGGACACCACGGGGCACCACGGGACACCTCGGGGCACCACATTGATCTCACTATCGATCTCATTATCGATCTCATTCAACGGGACACCACGGGACACCACGGGACACCACGGTACACCTGTCGATCTCATTATCGATCTCACTTTTTGGGACACCACGGGGCACCTCGGGGCACCACATCGATCTTAGTATCGATCTCACTATCGATCTCACTCAACGGGACACCACGGGACACCACGGGACACATCGATCTCACTATCGATCTCACTATCGATTTTACTTTTTGGGACACCACGGGACGCCTCGGGGCAACACATCGATCTCAGTGTCGATCTCAGTGTCGATCTCAGCATCGATCTGACTTTTTGGGAAACCACGGGTGTCCACGGGACACCACGGGGCACCGCGGGACACCGCGAGCCACCGCAGGACGGACTGACGGACGGGCGGGCGGGGGAGAATCATTTGTTTTGATTTCGCCCGACGGACATCACGGGGCACCACGGGACACCGCGGGACACCGCGAGCCACCGCCGGACGGACAGACGGACGGGCGGGCGGGAAATATTCATTTGTCTTGATTTCGCCCTAGCAACGGCGGACACCACGGGACACCGCGGGACACCGCGAGCCACCACCGGACGGGCGGGCGGGAAAGAGTCAGTTGTCTTGATTTCGCCCTAGCAACGGCGGACACCACGGGACACCCTAGCAACGGCGGGTTCAGTCCTCTCGCACGCCCACGCAGCTTTGCCTGACCCGCACGCATGACACGAACGAAACGGAACGATTTCCTGGCGGGGGGTCTCCGTTCCACTGCGATCTCACCTCTCGACCTCCGATATGTGTATATATATAGATATAACAAGTAGGCCGGGCCTCCTTCCGGGGCGCCATCCACCTCGATGACATCTGGATTACGCTCCCGGTACCGCGCTTCGCGACCTCCCAGGGAGCCCCCACGACGCCCAAGGACAGCCCAAGACGACCCCAAGAAGCCTCCAGAACGAACAAAAACGGCAGACGCTCCCAAGCAACCCAGTATAGCTTTCGGGCGGCTCTCCAGGCTCCCAGGAGGCCTCCAAGAGACTTCAAGAGAGCTCCGAGAGGCCTCCTGAAAACGCCTGGAGAACCTAAAGTCGTTAGTTTTCATGTTTTGTTTTGTTTTTGGAATTTTATGGTTTTTAGCCTTCTCACCGTTTCATGCTTCCAACGTTCCAACACGGCCGAAGAGGCCCCCAAGACCGCCCCAAGACCGCCCAAGAGGCTCCCAAGGCGGCTCCAAGACGGGCCAAGAAGGCCCCAAGACTGCCGAAGAGGCGCCCAGGACAGCTCCAGTCCACCCCAGAACAGGCCCAAGATGAGCCCAACAGCGGGAGCAGTAGGCCTCCAGAGACCTCCGAGAGGACTCCGGGACCTGCCAGAGGCCTCCAACACACCCCTGACCCCTGAGAGGCCCCCCAAAAAGCCCCGGCGAGGCCCCCCAAACAGCCCAAGAGAGCTTCGAGAGCAGTCCCGAGAGAGCCCGACAAGGGTAACATCGTGAATTTCTTTTGTTTTTTTCTACTGTTTTTCGCCTTCTCACGTTTTCTCGCTTCCAACGCTCAAAGACCGAGGAACTTGAAAAAAAGGGAATCCCAGAGATTCCCTTTTGAATCTAAGTTCAACAAAAAGACGCCCCCCCCTCCTGGGGGTCCCACACCTTCTCGGAACATCTGCGGAACGCTCCCGGTACCGAGCGTTCCGGCCCCGGGGGTCCCCCAAAACGGCCAAGGCCCAAGACGACCCCAAGAAGCTTCCGAACCTACAGGAACGGCCCAAGACGCTCACAAGCAACCCAAGATAGCCATCGGTCGGCTCTCCAGGCTCCCAGAAAGCCTCCAAGAGGCTTCAAAGACCGAGGAACTAGAAAAAACTGAAATCCCAGATATTCCTTTTTTTCCAAGTTGGGATTCCTAGCCCCTATCCTCTTCCTCGAGCCCCATCAAGACTTCGGGGTCACGTGCAAAGATTTTTCGGGAATACGGTTGAACTTTCGAATGCTATCTTGGCACTCTCTTGGATCGTCTTCGTGTCCTCTTGGCTGCCCCTGCAACCACCATAGAAATCGAGATCCCATGATCTCATGAGTTGAACAAAAACGTAGTTTCAGTTTTTTTTCAAATTCACCCCGTGCTTGTTTTTGCACGAAGACCACGAGAGTCATTGCAGCAGACCGTGGCCTGCATCCGAAGAACATCAAACCCACAGCCCAGGCACGGCAACTTGAAAAAAAGGGAATCCCACAATTCATTTTTTTTCAATTCTCCCCCCTGTCTACTCTTGCCCAACAGATCACAATTAAGGCCCCCCTCAGCTTCCAGAAGAGAGCCCAGGAAGTCTTTGAGGACCCCAATTCGTTGAATACCGAACTGGAATTAATGATTTCTGCCTTTCCGCAGTTTCCCTTCTATACGAATCCGAGGCTTGCTCAGGGTCTCCAAGAGAGCCCCTGGATGCAAGAAACGACCAACATTAGGTTCCATGAGCTACAGCGCGCGATGGTTCTAGTATGTATATGTGTATGTATGTATACATGTGCATGTGTATATATGCAGCAAGAGAGAAAGAGAGAGAGAGAGAGAGAACACACTATGAAACGGAGGAGGAGGAGGCCGAGGAGGAGGATGAAGATGATGGCCGCGTGCGGTGGACCCACAGGCCGATATGTATGTATGTATGCATGCATGTATGTATGCATGTATGTATATGTATGTATAGATATGTATATGTATATGTATATTATATGTATATGTATATGTATATGTATATGTATATGTATAGGTATAGGTATATGTATATGTATATGTATATGTGTATGTATATGTATATGTATATGTATGTGTATATGTATATGTATATGTATATCTGCATACATCAATTCAATTATCTATATGTATGGAGAGACCGAACAGGAGAGGGGGAGTAGGAGGAGGAAGAGGAGGATGAGGAAGAGGAGGAGGAGAAGGATAATGAGAAGGAGGAGGAGGAGGAGGAGGAGGAGGAGGAGGAGGAGCCACGGAGCGGGGCTGGAGGAGAAACATGCGACAATTTCGTTTCGTCATCGGCGCGGCCGCAAACCTGTTAGAGCGCATGCCGCGCTGGCTCCTCTCCGCTCAGCGACCAAAGGAACCCCGTGCAGCGGGGCGTGTTACCAGGCGGGGGGGGGCTTCCGCAGGGGATCGAAGGTCACCGCCAATCGCAGAACGTAGCATGAGCATCTCTTTTCGACGGTCCTCCCTGTCGTTTCTCCACCCGTTTCGGGTCTCCCCTGGAGGCTTCTGGTCGCCACGGCCGGATCCGGCTCGGAAGACGGTTCAGGATGCACCCTGGGAGTTGGTTGGTGGGTTTAGTTTTGAGCGGACTCGTCGGCGAACATCGAGGATCGTGGCCCTCGGCCGCTTAGTTGCGTGTCTGGGCGCTCCAGGGGGCTCTGGAGGATTCCACAGGGGGTTAGAGCAGAGTTTATTGTTGGAATGTTGGAGTCAGGGCAAATGGTTTTGTTGGTCAGACCATCGATGGGTGAGTCGTTCTGAAATCTCGGGGCCTGCACACGCACCGTTCACTCAGTCAGGCTGCGAGTGTCTCAAGAGTGTTGCTGCCCAGTGTATGAATCCTGCACGGGAACCGTCGCTAGAACCATGACTGCCTCGCAGCCTGCTCGCGCTTGCAGCTTGATCTCAGCGATTCCAGGGGTCGTCTGGTCTTGGAGTCAGTGAAGTCCGCCAGGGGGCAGCTAAGCGATTCTTGGACGCCGCTCCGCTGTTTCAGACTTACACCCGCCGTTCACACCCAGTATTTGTGCGTCGCGATCGCCATCTCGACAGCGACTTATTACGAATGTTCATCTTGCTAGATGTGCTGCTGATGCTGCTTCTCGTGTGCGGCAGCAGCAATCGATGCCTGTCCGCGCCTGGCTATGCGAAGGTGACTGTGGCAAGGGGAGGACAGGAATGGGGGAAGGCGAAAGATGAGAGGGATGAAGAGGGGGAGGAGGATCGGGAGGAGGATGAGGCAGAGGAGGCGGAGGAGCTGCAGCATCATCAGCTGTCGCATTTGGAGCGGCAGTTGTCCAGGCACTGTCTTACCATGTGCGACTTCACGAAGGAGGAGGTGGTCGACATCATCCGCGTGGCCATCGCCATGAAGAAGTCTAGAAAGATCTTTATGGAAACGGGCTTCGACCGATTCTCGGACATCCTGAAAGGCCCCCGCGGGCGGGTCGCAGGGGGCCCCGGACTTCTCCGTGCTCCCCCTCCCTCTTCGCCCTCAATAAGGCATCTTGGCCCAAGCCACGCGCATCTAGCAGCCCGGCTTCTTTTGCGGCGGCGTCGGGACATGGCCCACGCAGTGCGCACGACGCACGCCTGGGCCAAGCCCGGCCGAGCGGCGAAGCCAGCAGCGAGTGGCTTGCCTGGCCCAGCAGACGGTGGCCAGGCAAGCGGATTTGGCGAAGATCGCGAGTCTGTCCGCGCTGCCGTCGCACCTGCGTGAGCAGCTGAACGCCTTGGGCCCCGTGGTTCGAGGCTTGGCCGCTTTTCGCGCAGTCGGCCGGGCGGGCTGAGCAGGCCATGTGCTGCGCTCGAGTGGGGGACGTTGGCTTCGCTGCTGGCTTCTTCCGCCATGCCACTTCGTCTCACCCTCACTCTGGCCTTCCATCCTTTCGATCCCGCGCCTGATCACAACCTCCAGCTTCGGCCGATGCTGCACGGCGCTGTTGCGCATTCTGGCACGGCGGACTCGTATCGATCCCGACTGCGTGCTGCTGCTGCTGCTGCTCGATCAGACGCAGATTTCAGTCCGATCCGATTTCCAGATTCGATGCTGACTCCTCCTCTTCCCCTTTCTCCCCCGCCGTCATTACCGTATTACCATCATTACCGTGTTCAGCGTTTGCGTAGAGTGTCGCGCCGCCGGTTCGGGCCCATCATGCTTTGGCGCGACACGCTAAGCACGTCCCAGTCCCCAGGCATTAACGCTCCGAGCTCTTTCTGGTCTCCTGTCCGACGATTCGTCCTATCAGCTTGCAAGGCATGGCGTGTCTCAGGGGCCGCCGCCGCGACACGCTAAGCACAAACTCCTGACCGTACTTATCCCCCCCTCCTCCTCCCCACCGCAGGCTTCTCCCTCCTGACCCTCTTCGAGAAGCCGTCGCTGCGCACGCGAGTGTCGCTGGAGGTCGGCATGCATCAGCTGGGCGGCCAGGCGGCAGCCGAGCCCTTCAAGAGGAAGAGGAGGACGTGGAGGATCAAGAGGAGAAGGAGGAGGAGGAGGAGGAGGAGAACTCGGAGGAGGAGGCGAAGTCGGAGGCGGAGGAGGTATTAGGAAGATAGCTAATAATGAGGAGGGGGAGGAACGAGGTGGAGGAGGACGAGGTGGAGAAGGGTGAGGATGAGGAGGAGGAGGAGGATTCTTAAGCCACGAGAATGTGGAGGTGGAAGCCAGGAGTAGGAGAAGGAAGTTGAGAATGAGAAGATGGGAGAGGAGGGGATGATGATGGGGGCGAGGAAGACGAGGCCAGGAGGAGAAGGCCAGATGCATGATGATGGTGATGATGGTGAGGAGGAGGAGCAGGAGGAGGAGGAGTGCACTCGGCCAGGCGATCTTCTACTCGATCGCCGACTCGCCACTCGGCAAGAAGGAGAGCATCGAAGACACCGGGAAGGTCCTTGCCAGGACGCGTCTCTGAGCCCCTCCTCCCCATCCCCTTCAGTTTTCTACTCCCCTTTCTCCTCCCTCCTCCTCCCCCATCCCTCACCGAGAGGGCGGACAGGGAAGAGGAGGAGAAAGATAGTACAGGGCGAGGTGGTGAGAAAGTTGGAGGAGGAGGCAAGGATGCAATGAGGAACAGGAGTAGGATGAGATGGAGGATGAGTCCCAGTGAGGAGGTGGATGAGGAGGTGATGATGACGATGATGATGACGACGGTGACTATGACGATGATGATGACGATGGCGATGACGGTGATAACGACGACGATGACGAAGTCGACGATGCTGATACTTATGATGATGACGATGATGGTGGTGATGATGCTCATAAGGATGATGATGAGGATCTGATGAATATGATGATGTTACTGCTGATCATGATGATGCTGCTGATGATGGCGTTGATGGTGATGGTGACGGTGCTGGTGATGATGATGATGCTGATGCTGATGACGGTGATGATGATGGTGGTGATGACAGTGATGGCGGTGATGATGCTGATGATGATTATGTTGATGACGATGATATCGATGGTGCTGATGATGACGATTATGATGATGATGCTGACGAGGATTATAATGATGGTGATGATGATGGTGATGGTGCTGATGATGATGCTGCTGCTGATCGTGACGATGACGACGATGATGCTGCTGATGATGATGATTGTGATGATGATGGTGCTGATGATGGTGATGATGATGCTGATGATGCTGATGTTGATCATGATGCTGCTACTGATGACAATGCTAATAGTGAGAATGATGGTGATGATGCTGATTATGCTGGTGATGATGTTGCTGCTGATGATGATGAGGATGATGGTGGTGGTGGTGATGATGGTTGTGTGTGGTGCTGCTGATGGTGAGAATGGTGATGCTGCTGCTGATGATGATGCTGATGACGACGGTGACGGCGGGGAGGATTACTTTGATGATGATGATGCTGGGTACACGGATGATGAGGCTGACGGTGATGATGACGATACTGATAATGGCGATAATGCTGATGTTGTTGATGATGAGGATGATGCTGATGGTGATTCTGATGGTGATGATGATGATGCTGATGCTGATGCTTATGATCTGAAATGATATGGTGATGGTGATACTGGTGGTGGTGGTGGTGGTGAGGATGATGATTATGGCGGTGGTGCTGGTTGTGGTGCTGGTGGTGGTGGTGGGGGTGGTGGTGGTGATGATGTTGATGGTGCTTATGGGGGTGATGGTGACGCTGATCAATACGATGGCGACGGTGCTGCTGATGATGCTGCTGATGATGATGCTTACAACGATGATGACGATTGGAGGCGGAGGCTGACGGTGATGACGATGAAGAAGAATATGGTGATACTGATGATGATGGTGATGCTGCTGATGATGCTGGTGATGATGATGATGATGATGCTACTGATATTGATGATGATGGGCACGATGATGCTGCTGATGATGATGCTGTTGATGATGATGATGATGATGATGATGAGGAGGAGGAGGAGGAGGAGGTGGATTTTGCTCGATTTTGCTGCGCTGCCACGCATGTGGCTCCTCAATCCCCAATCGTGGAGGAACACGAGCCTCCCCAGCCGCTCAGGCGCTGCGCAGGAGGAGCACGAGCCTCCGCGAGCGCGTCAGGCGCAGGAGGAACACACGCCTCACGCGAAAGGCCCAGGCGGCGGAGGAACACAAACCTCCGCCCGCCAGGCAAACGGCGCAGGAGGAGCACGAGCCTCCGTGCCGAGCCAGGAGTGCCACAGGAGGGCACGAGCCTCTGCGGCACTCACGACGCGGCCGACTTCTCGGGCGGGAGGCCGAGCTTCACCAAGAGTGCCGCCCGCTCGTCCTCCTCCAAAGCCGTGCTGCCGCGTCGCCGTGGCCTTGCGCGTGTCGATCTCGCTCGAGACCCTCCCCGAGGCCCCCCCCCCATCAAAAAATTGCATTGGCGAGCTCCTCCAGGAGCTTGGCGACCACCAGCTCCTTCTGCTGCAACATCGAGTCCGCGTGCACGTTGAGCTGCTCCTGCACCTTGGGAACCTCCTTGACCTTCTTTGTCTTCGGGTTCTCCTCCTCCTTTTTCTCCTCAACGACCTCCTCCAACTTCAGCACGGTATCGACCCTCATCGTCTCCTCCTCGTCCTCGGAGTCCATCGCCACCATCTTCTTGGGTGTCTCCGAAGACGTCCATGATAGAGACGGGTCGCACGTACTGCACGTAGTGGAGCTGCTTGGGATCGAACTCGTCGCCGCGAACGTGACGAGCGCCGTGCCGACCTCGGCGATCAGGCCGGAGTCCGGGTGGGCTGCCCAGCGTCTGCCCGCAACGCAGCGCCGTCCACCGCTTCGCCAAGGCGGGCTGCTCCTTGGCGAGGGCACGCCGTACCTCTTCCGACGTTGCCTTGCGGCCCAGGGCGAGGCGCCGCCCTGCGCCGTGGAAGACCTGCTCGTAGCTCTCGAGGGCGCAGCCGCCCTTCGGGCCGCCGCCGTCCGCCAGGCGCAGCATCAGCTCCGCGGCGGCAGCGACCGTGTCGCAGTGTGCGACAGATAGCCCGTGTCGCACCAGCGGGCCCCTCGCGCGTTCAGCCCGCACCATCGCGCGCGCACACTCCGCCCGCGCCCAGCAAGGGGGGGGCAGCCGTAGCTTGAGCCAAAATGGCTACGGATGATGATGATGATGATGATGATGATGATGATGATGATGATGATGATGATGATGATGATGATGATGATGATGATGATGATGAGATGATGATGATGAGATGATGATGATGATGACGATGATGCTGATGCTGATGCTGATGCTCATGATGATGATGCTGCTGCTGATGATGATGATGATGATGATGATGACGATGATGGTGATGATGATGACCACGATGATGATGATGGTGATGATGATGATGATGACGATGATGACGATGACGATGACGATGATGATGAGGAGGAGGAGGAGGAAGAGGAGGAGGAGGAGGAGGAGGAGGAGGAGGAGGAGGAGGAGGAATAGCTGTAGGAGGAGGGGCAGGAGGAGGGGGGGGAGTGGCACGAGGAGGAGCAGGATGAGGAGGCGGAAGAAGAGTAGGAGGACCAGTGTGAACCCAAGAGTCATCAACGATGTCGGAATAGACCCTCCCTCCAAGCTCCCTATCCATAGCCCCTGCAACGATTCATTTCCATTGAAGGAATTGCCTCTTTGGAAGACAACCGTTTGAAGACCCTGAAGCATGCCAAAACATTGCCCTCGGGAGTCCAGCGCCACGGATCAACCTGACTGCTGCGTCTTGACGATCCGGAATCGTGCCAGAAAGCGTTTTTTTGAGACCTCAACACAGAGAACCAACATGACTGTTGCACCCGCGTAATCCTGATTTCTTTCAAAACATCATTTCTGGCACGTTGGTGATGGGAGTCCGTGGAGCTCTTGCAGTTGTTTAAAGCGAATGTGCGCCGCGCTAAGGCGAGAGCCACATTTTGAAAACAATCCGCCCTCAATCCGTGAAGCCCTTGCGAACATTTAACACGAATGCGCGCCGCGCTAAGGCCAGAGCCACATTTTGAAAACGACTCGCCCTCCATCCGTGAATTTCTTGCAATTTGTTAAACGAAGGTGCACCGCGCTAAGGCGAGCGCCACGTTTTGAAAACAACCCGCCCTCAATCCGTGAAGCCCTTACAGAAGTTTAAATCGAAGTTTAAATCGAATGTGCGGCGCGCTAAGGCGAGAACCACATTTTGAAAACGACCCGCCCTCAATCCGTGAAACTCTTGCACGTGTTCAAAACGACTACGCGCCGTGCTAAAGCGAGAGCCACATTTTGAAAGCGACCCGCCCTCCATCTGTGAACCTGTTGCCAAGCTTTAGACGCATACCTGGTGAGGAAGTCTCAGGCGAAACGCCCGGCCCGCCCCAAAAAATGGCCTCCGGGGGTGCAACACGGAGAAATTATTTAGAAGGAAAAGGGATGGAGGAGGAGGAGGAGGAGGAGAAGAAGCAGCAGCAGTGGCGACAGGAGGAGGAGGAGGCGAAAGAGGAGGAGGGAGGAGGAGGTGTTGGAGCAACCGTATGACGTCCGCCCCGCTGCCGCCAGGATGTGCCAGGGCATTACAGCCAGGGTCGCGAGCCGCAAGGCGGTCCGAAGCCTGGCGGAAGTGTCCGACGTGCCCGTGATCAACGCGCTCGACGATTATGCGCACCCGATGCAGATGTTCGCTGATCTGCAGACCATCGTGGAGTGCAAGGGCTCGTGGGACGGCCTCACCATGTGCTACCTCGGGGACCTGGAGATTGATCGGTCCCGAAGGGTGGAGAAGAAGGGAGCCGTGCGTCGCAATTTTTCACGTAGGGCGTTTTCGCTCTTATTCGTGAGCTGGGGCCCTAAAGATCGATCGGGCTCGAAACGTGCCAACTGAAGTTGGGGTCTCGGGCTCCAGCCGTGATTTTTGTACGGTGTTGTATTTGTTTCGATGTTGCATGTTTCCGCGTCGTCATATCTCAGGCAGAAGGGTACGATTGGAGTGTGCTTCGCCAGGACAGCCAGTGCTGCTGGCAGTTTTGGAAGGAGGATCTTTTCCATCGACCCTCAGCTGGGGGCTCCTGCTTCCAGACGTGGGTCGCAGTGCCGTTTCTGCTCACTCCGTCCATGGACACGCTAGCCATCCCTTTTCTATGTCATGGCTGCTGCGACTGGTGGCTGGGGCCAACCCAAAGAGCGAGGAGGAAGGAGGCATTCCGCCGCTGTCGCGGCGTCGATCTCGGCGCCACACGACGCTGCGGAGAAGGTGCCTCTGCGGGAGGCTTCCAAACGACTTTGCGTTCCCACGCCCCCTGTGCTCTTCCAGTCCGCGCACCGCATCTCTGCTTTGCCGCCAAATCGCCGGGCACACGGAGCAGGAATGGAGGAGGAGGAGGAGGAGGAGGAGGAGGAGGAGGAGGAGGAGGAGGAGGAGGAGGAGGAGGAGGAGGAGGAGGAGGAGGAGGGGGGGAGGACAAGCTAGGTGCGCTCGCGTCATATCTGACATCCTACCTCTCCCTCGCATCCCTTACCATGGCGCAGATCCCCTCTTTACTCGCACAGTCGGATGTCGAGCAGAGCAATGATCCTGAAAGGGTACGCGATGCATTGTAGAGCACGGCATGGCATGGCGTAGAAGAGCACCGCAAAGCGTAGCATCAACCTAGCATTGCATTGCATGCCGTGGCATGGCACGGGAAATGACGCCAGCGCTGCAGCGGGAGCACGAGTCGAAACGAGCGGAAGCGCGGAAATAAGGCCAGCGCTGCAGCGGGAGCACGATTCGGAACGAGCGGAAGCACGGAAATGAGGCCAGCGCTGCAGCGGGAGCACGATTCGGAACGAGCGGGGCCCGAAAGTGAGGCTGGCGCCTCAGCGAGAGCAGCATTTCGGAAACAAATGCAGGCGAAAACCCAATTCCGGGGAAACCTGTGTGTAACGAACAGTACGCGGGGGGGGTCGGACACTCCCAGGCCGTCATCAGGGGAAGAGGGAGAGTAGTATTCATATTGAGTAAGTGTGGAGGAGAATGAACAGGAGGAGGAGGAGGAGGAGGAGGAGGAGGAGGAGGAGGAGGAGGAGGAGGAGGAGGAGGGGAAGGAGGAGGAAGAGGAGGATGAATTGTCTTCTGTGCTGGCTTCGCGACATGGGAACGACTCACGTGACGTCCTCCTTGCCCTGTCTCGTGTTTTTGAGGCGTGCTCCGCCCACCTCCACGAGCCGACCCCTTCCCAGGCGACTCTTTTCCGTCCTGTGTCGATTTGGACGGTCCGCGGGCCCGAAAAGGGCCTTCAACGGCCCCGACGAAACGGTAAGTGCCGTCTCGATGTGTCCCGTGACGGGCCATGTCCGGGTTGGCCCAGCAGCCCCGAGGAGAACAATGTCACTTACGACCTCATGCGTCTCGCGGCTCTCATGGGGTACAATATGCACCTGGCTGGGGCTGGCCAGGTTCCTGGGCGGCGGGAGCCGCGCCTCACTCTATCTTTCTCTTTCTTAATTTCTTTATGTCTGCCTCTTTCTCTCTCTCTCTCTCGCTCTCTATGTCTGTCTCTCTTTCTTTCGTGTGTATATGAGTGTGATTGTGAACTCATTTGCTATACTCGTATTGCTGTTTGTACCCCTCTCTCTGTGCGTGTCACTGTACATACATAGAATGTACATATCCATAGACATATATGCATTCACACACATCGACATCTACACACACATACATACATGCATACCTACCTACCTACCTAACTACCTACCTACCTACCTACCTACCTACCTACCTACCTACCTACCTACACACATACATACATACATACAGACACACACACACACATACACACGTACCTCCACATCTACCCACATACATGCATGCATGCACATACGTACATACATGCAAGCGTATGCACACACACACACACGTGTACATACACACACGCACTTACCCACAACCATGCATACCTACACACACACGTACATGCATTCGTACATACATGCATGCATGCATACATACACCTACATACAACCATGAACATATGCATACATACACACATACACACATACATCCATCCCCATATACGTAGAGGCCTACACATCGACATACAGCCATGCATACATACATACACATACATGCCTTCACATCTAGAAGTATACGTACATACGTCCATACATACATCCATCCACACATACATGTGTACATACCCAAACATAATACATACATGCATGCATGCAGACATACACATGATGCCAGAGAGAAGCCCCAATCAAAGTCTTGTTAGGACAATAGAGCATTGGGGCTATTAGGCTATAGGGCGATGGGGTTATGGGGCTACAGGGCTACGGAACTACAAGGCTATAGGGCCATAGGGCTATGGGGCTATGGGGCTATACGGTTACAGGGCTACAGGGCCATAGAGATGTAAGGCTATAGGGCTATGGGGCTATGGGGCTCTGGCGCTATGGGGCTATAGGGCTATAGGGTCATAGAGCTATGAGTCTATGGGGCTATAGGGCTATAGGGCTATAGGACCATAGGGCTATAGGGTTGTGGGGCTATGGGGCTATGGGGCTACAGGGCTATAGGCATACAGAGCTATAGGGCTATCGGGCTATAGGGCTATAGGGCTATAAGGCTATAAGGCTACAGGGCGATATGGCTATAGGGCTATTGTGCTATAGGGCTATAGGGCTAAAGGGCTATTGGGCGATAGGGCTATAGGTCTTTAAGGCTATGGGGCCATAGTCTATTGGGCTGTAGGGCGCTATAGGGCTGTAGGGCTATAGAGCTATAGGGCTCTAGAGCGATAAGGCTAGAGGGCTATAATATTATAAATATGGCTATGGGGCTACAGGGCTATAGGGCTATTGGACTATAGGGCTATATTGCTATTGGGCTATTGGGCTATAGGGCTATAGGGCTATTGAGCTACAGAGCTACACAGCTATAAGGCACCCAGGCACCAGGGCACCTGGGCACCTGGGCACCCGGGCACCCGGGCACCTGGGCACCCGGGCACCTGGGCACCTCGGCACCCGGGCACCCGGGCACCCGGGCGGACTGCGGAAATCGGTGACACACCTCACCAAACCATACGAGTCCGCTAGGACCCCTACAGAGCCAAGCTCTGGCTGGGGAGCATACACACATGCATGCATGCATGTATGCATGCATGCATGCATACATCTCCCCGTCTATTGTATTTGCAGACCTACCTACCTACCGACCGACCTACCTTCCAATTTACTTACCTACCTACCTACTTACCCACCTACCTACCTGCCTGCCTGCCTACCCACCTACCTACCTACCTACCTACCTACCTACCTACCTACCTACCTACCTACCTACCTACCTACCTACCTACCTACCTACCTACATACATACATACATACATACATGCATGCATGCATGCATACATGCATGCATGCATGCATGCATGCATACAACATACATACATACATACATACATACATACATACATACATACATACATACGTACGTACGTACATACATACATACGTACGTATATACATACATATATATATATATACATATGCATCTATGCATGTAAAGATCAATCCACGCCTCTCTTCCTCTACGCTTCCCTTCCTTCTCCTTGTCCTCCCCATCCTACTCTTATCCTCTTCCTCCCTCCGGAACGAAATCCCCAGGGAATGCCCTGTCGGATCACTCCGCTGGGGTTGGGGCTCCTCCATCTCTTCCCCTGCTCGCCCTCCTCGCTCCTCGTCCTCTACCCACTCTCTTTCCCATTCCCATCTGGTTTCTTCTCCTCCTCACTCTTGTCCTCCTCCTCCTCCTCATCATCATCATCCTTCTCTCCCCCTCCCCCGGCCAAATGCTTAGTCACTTGTCCCGGCACGTTTGGGCTCCCCGTGCAACCTGGAGCCTTCCTCGGCGGCCTTGTTACACGTGTGAAGAACTACAGGAGTCAGCTGGGTTGCTTCCGACAGGCTTGTCGGAGTCTTCCGAGAGGCTTCCGATAGTCTTCGGATAGGAATCCGAGAGGCTTCCGAGGGGCGTCCGAGGGGCCTCTGAGAGGTTTCCGAGAGGCTTCTAAGATGCCTATTAGAGGCTTCTGAGGGGCTTTCAGAGGCATCTGAGATTCTTCAGGGTTCCTCAGGATCCCTCTCGTCCAGCTTGATTGTATCATTTTTGCCGAAGCACCGAAGCCTTTCCCCGATTTCCCGATTGGATGCTGGCTGATCCTGGCTTCTGTCTTCTCCCCCTCCTGCGGTCCGGAACTTTTGCCCCGCGTGTCGCGCCGCCAGTTCTTGCCCACCACGCCTTTTAGCGACTTAGCAACGTCCTGGTTTCCAGGCGTAAACGTCCCGAGCCCTTCTCAGCCTCCCGGCCCGCAGTGCGGAGCGACACGCTATCGGCTCGCAAGGCATGGCGTGTTGCCGGGGCCGCTCCTCTTCCTCCTCATTGTGCGCCTTATTCGTTAATGCTTGTTTTTGTTTACCTCCCCCGGGCCCACCTAACATATATGTTCAATTATATGTTCGACTCTACTTCGTTTCTAGTTCGACTCCATCTCGACCCAAGTTCACCCCAAATTCGGTTCAAGTCGGCGGACGTTCGACGCAGCACCTACGAATTGAGTGGAGCGAGTGGATCTAGAAAGGTTCCCAGAGCGAGCATCTAACATTACTCCTCTGCTCGTCATTTCCACCTCTATTCCTCCTCCTCTTTGCTGTGAACAATGCCACTGGTCAGTATCTTCCGCGTTTTGCCACAGAGCGCACTGCTACTTCATGAGGTTTTGTAGTTGTCCCTACTCCTCAATCAATTGGCCGTCGGCCCATCCCGCCACCGTGCCTTGGTTGTAGGTCAGAGGCCTCTCGGGGCCCTCTTGGTCCGTTTTGGGGCGCCCGTGGTTTCGACAAAATCATGTGGGAAACGATGGGGAACCGCGGGAGGCACGCTGGGACTCTTGGAACATCTGAGAATTTGGGGTCCCTGCTCCTAATCTTCAACCCTGGGGACCGAGGACCCAGGACCACAAGGGACCTGAGGGCGTTCCAGCTCGTGCCTCGCGGCACGGTGGCAGAACTTTGTTGGTCTCCGGGGGAAAAACCTCTTCTGCTTATGTTTCTTCTTCTTCTTCTCCTTCTTCCTCCTCCTCCGATTCGATTTGATGCTACAGTCACGATGCTCCTCCTCCTCCTCCTTCCTCCTCCTCCTCCTTCCTCCTCTTCTCCTGCTTCCTCCTCCTCCTCCTCCTTCTTTCTCCTCCTCCTCCTCCTCCTCCTCCTCCTCCTCCTCCTCCGATTCGATTTGATGCTACAGTCACGCTGCTGGAGGGGCTCTGGAGGGGCTCTGGTCTTCGGGGAGCCTGTTTGCGGCCGAGGCACCCCGTGGCCAGAGGAGCCCCCCTCCGTTCCCTATCCGGCGCTCCTTCCAGCAGCCAGGGCCCTCTCTGGAGCGCCCCCCCTGTGATGAGTCGGACGAGGAGGAGGAGGAGGAGGAGGAGGAGGAGGAGGAGGAGGAGGAGGAGGAGGAGGAGAGGAGGAGGAGGAGAGGAGGAGGAGGAGGAGGAGGAGGAGGAGGAGGGGAGGGGGAGAGGCTGCTGCTGCTGCTGCTGCTGCTGCTGCTGCTGCGGCTGCAGCTGCTGCGGCTGCTGCGGCTGCCGCGGCTGCTGCGGCTGCTGCTGCTGCCTGATCCCTCCTTCTCCCCCTCCTCTTCCACCCGCCAGACCGCCCCAACCCAACCAGAGGGCCCCAATTTGCCCTCCATTCCCAGTGGGTGGGGGGTGGCGCCGGGAAACATTGAAAGAACATGGAACAACAAACACATGTGGAACCCGCACCGTGCCCCCCCCACCCGATTCTAGGGTTGGGGTGGCCTGGCAGGTGGTCAATTGAGGGGGCGGTGCGGGGCTCCGCGAGGCCCGCTGCTGCTCCCCCAACGCGACCCCCCCCCCTCCCCGCTCCCTCCCCCCCCCTCCCTCAGGTGGAGGAGGGCGTCTGGACGGAGGTCAAGGCGCTCCAGGACCGGGGGGCCTCCTCCCTCCTCTCTCCTTCTCCTCCTCACCCTTCCCCTCCTCCTCCTCCTCCTCCTCCTTTTCCTTTTGCTCCTTCCCCTCCTCCTTCCCCTCCTCCTCCCTCCCATCCTCCTTTCCCTTCTCCTTCTCCTCCTTTCCCTCCTCCTCATCCTCCTCCTCCTCCTCATTCTCCCCTTCCCGTACTCTTCCTCTTTCCCTCCCTCCATCCCCTCCTCCCTTCCTTCCCCTGCTCCTCCCTCTCCTCCTCTCCTCCTCCTCCTCCTCCTCCTCCTCCTCCTCCTCCTCCTCCTCTCCTCCTTCCCCTCCTCTTCCCCCTCCTCCTCCTCCTCCTCCTCCCCTCCTCTCCTCCTCCTCCTCCTCCTCCTCCTCCTCCTCCTCCTCCTCCCCCGTTCTCCTCCTCGTTCTCCTACTCCTTTCCCTCCGCCTCTTCCTCCTCCTCTTCTTTCTCCCTTCCCTCCTCCTCCCCCTCCTCCTTTTCCGCTTGCTGGCAGCAGGGAAGGAGGAGATGAGGTGAGAAGTAGTTTTTTAGGGCACGCTCCAGGTTTGGCGACGGTTTCATTTTCTAGACCTGTCCCCCAGGCCTTCTCCAGCAGTGTGCGTTTCCGAGGGCTGCAAGAACAAGGGATTTGACCATCTAGAACGCCTGTCTCTGTTCCCAAATATGCCACTGCTGAGTTGCCGCAGACGCCGATCAGGCCAAACGCCACGCGCCGTTGCACCCGTTGCACCCAGGCCAAACGCTCCAGGCAGAGGGCGTGGGAGGGGGTCGTCTGGTCGCGGGAGTCTGGGTCGTGGGGAGGGGAGGGAGCCTCGTGCCGCGTGCCTGAGAGTTGGGTCCCGAAAATCGGCTGCGTGCCGAATGAGGGTCCCCAGCCAGGCCTGCGCCGCCTTCTGCGGAGAGCAGCAGGCCTAATTCATCGCTTCAGTGGGGTGTGTAGATGCCCAACCCAGATTCCTAATCTGACATGTGTTGAGCTGGCGAGAGGCTAGTCGGCAGGCGTCCTCGGCAGGAGTCCCCGAGCTTGTTCATGTTCATGTTCCTCCTCCTCCTCCTCCTCCTCCTCCTCCTCCTCCTCCTCCTCCTCCTCCTCCTCCTCCTCCCCCCTCCCGCTTCCTCCTCCTCCTCCTCCTCCTCCTCCTCCTCCTCCTCCGCCTCCGCCTCCTCCCGCGCCCGCCGCGCGGGCGCGGCCGCGCTCCGGGTCGTTCCTGACACGCGACGGACGGTTTTCTACAATTTCCGGCCACCTCTGGCCCCCGGGGCCCCTGGGCCGTCAAACATCGACGATCCCCAGGAGGTGCGTTGGACCGGTGTGTGCTCACCCCGCTCAGCTTCGGTGACAGCATGCAGCCCGTGTCTGCCCTCACTGCACCGCCTGCGTCGTATGGAAGGGCTTCGGTGGACAAGGTCACGATGGCGCCAACGCACGCTCTGAGGATGATCGCAAAGTCGGGGGTCCTCGGGGAAGAGCGCGCGGGGTAAACAGAAACTGTCGGCGGGCCGCACGGACTCCTCAGATCGGCACCGGGCCCCCCTGGCGGTGCCTCCGGCGCCGCGCCTGGGGCCTGGGGCGCTCCACTCCGCGCGCCAGGGGGGTGGGGTCGAGCGCCGATCCAAGAAGTCCGCGTGGCCCTCCGAAAGTTCGTGCAGTTCGATCGCAGATCATGGGGGCCTCGTGTATCCTCGTACTTCCGTTTTTGGAGTTAGCGATCGCTGGCGTGGGATACTCAATGACAGAGCGCCGGTCTAGCGTTGAGCCAGCGACGATTTAGCGTCGATTTGGCGTTGGTCAGCGTCGACTCGCGTCGGTTAGCGTCGATTTTCAGGAGCCAGCAGGATTTCATGTGGGGCTCCCATGAGTCGTCACAGAGAAGAAAGTCGCCGCGCCGTTCGTACCCACCGTCTTGGGGAGGACGGCTCGGCCACCAGGGCGAACGCCGCCTCGGGCGCAGGGTCTCCCGCGGCTTTGCCATGGTGTCGGCGTCGTCCACTTTGGCGCGCCGAGAGCAAAGGGCGCGGCGACAAATGCAGGTTTGGCGTGTGCTAGGGGTGCCGCCGACGACGACGCCGGCGCCGACGACGACGACGAGGACGACGACGACGACGACCACCACGACCACGACGACGACCACGACCACGACCACGACCACGACCACGACCACGACGACCACGACCGCGACCACGACGACGACCACGACGACGACGACGATGGCGGCGGCGGCGTCGGCGTCGGCGACGCTGCGCGGGCGCTGACGGGGGTGCTCCCCTTTCTCGCCACGAAAGGCAAGCGGGTCCTGAGGGCGACGGGCCCCGGCGCTCCTCCCCGCGCTGGGCCTCCCGGACCCTCCACGGGCCTGGGCGCCGTCAGGGAACGGCCCCCGCGAGCGAGGAGCGTATCCCAGGAGAGCCCAGGAGGGCCAGCGAAGCCGGCGAGGGCCTCCCAGGAAGCCAAAGAAGGGGATCCAGGGGAAGGGGTAGCAGTACTTATCTACTCAGAGCCCCGAATCATCAGGGGTAACTCGGGTCAGGATTAACTCGCGTTCGTTTTTCGGGAATCCGAGCCCGAGTTGCCCCGGACCCGAGTTACCCCGGATAATTCGGGCGTCCAGAGCCCCACATCATCAGGGGTAACTCGGGTCAGGGCTAACTCGGGTTCCTTTTTCGGGAATCCAAACCCGAGTTACCCCGGACCCGAGTTACCCCGGATAACTCGGGCGCCCAATCTACCTTCCCCCCCCTCGGAAGAGAACCCCGGTGTCTCTCAGTCCTGCCTCCGTCTTACACGAAGCAGGCGAGCCACGAGGGCAGCGGGTCCCGTCTTCTGTTCGCCGTCTCTTGCCCCCATGCCCTCGCGCTCGACTCTTCGGAGTACCGAGAAGTGCATCACACCAGAGAAAGACCCCAATCAGTGGATGGTTTGAAATGGGATCCATAAAGAGATCGATAAGGAGATCGACCAGGAGCCCGGGAACCCAGAATTGGGAACCCGGGAACCCAGCCGGCTACCAAAATCGGCGGGGAATTTCCGCCTAATCTTTTGATTTCCGCTAGGACCCTTCAGTGGCACTGACAGTGCAAGCACTGATGGGGGAATAAGCAAGAACTTTCGGAACTCCGCGCGGATTTCTTGGATCGGCGCTTAAGCTGCCCCTGGCGGCGTCTCCAGCGCTGCCCCTGGCGCGCTCCGCGCGCTGGGGGGAGAGGGGCCCAGCGCAGTTCAAGAAATCCTGCGCGGACCTCCGAGAAGTTATGCTTTATGTCTCTCCTGTGCTGTTCTACATCTGGGACGGCGATCCCGTGGATGCGCGCTCGCATGATGACGTCCCGCGCGGGGCATCCGCCAGGAAGGGCCCCGTATCAACAGGGTCGCGGCCCGAGGCCCAAGGTCCTGGCACGCGAGGCCGTGAATACGGATAGGTTTTCCGCCCACGAGGAGGAGGAGGAGGAGGAAGAGGAGGCGGAGGCGGAGGCGGAGGCGGAGGAGGAGGAGGAGGAGGAGGAGGAGGAGGAGAAGAAGGATGATGATGGTGATGGTGATGGTGATGGTGATGATGATTATGCTGCTGATGATGATGCTGATGCTGATGCTGATGCTGCTGCTGCTGCTGATGATGATGATGATGATGCTGATGCTGATGCTGATGCTGATGCTGATGCTGCTGCTGGTGATAGAGGTGATGATGATGATTATGCTGGTGATGATGATGATGCTGCTGCTGCTGCTGCTGATGATGATGATGATGATGATGATGATGATGATGATGATGATGATGATGGTGGGGAGGAGGATGGGGGAGGAGGAGGAGGAGGAGGAGGAGGAGGAGGAGCAGGAGCAGGAGGAGGAGCAGGAGCAGGAGGAGGAGCAGGAGCAGGAGCAGGAGCAGGAGGAGGAGCAACAGGAAGAGGCGGATCGAGAGGAGGAGGAGGAGGAGGAGGAGGAGGAGGAGGAGGAGGAGGATGAGGATCAGGAGGTTCGAGGATCCAGCTGCCTGCGGCAAGTCTCGCTCTCGCCCTCGTGCCAGCTCAGCGACTCGGGTGGCCGTTGGCAGGACGCTGGAACGCGTGATGCGTCCTGTCCCACGGCTTGGGGGAGCCGTAATCTGTGACATGCTCTTCCGCGTCGTGTCGGTTTTGGGAAGACATATGAATTTGAGCATGCGGATGATGAGGATGAGGAAGGTAGCGATGAGTAGGACGACCATGAGGAGAATATGACGAGGAGGATTGTGGCCGACGGTGTGAAGCAGACCATGATGAGGTAACGGAGGTGACGAGGCTGTTGATGATCATGGTGATGATGATGAAGAGTAGGAGGAGGTAGAGCAGGAGGATTTGGAAGAGTGCGGCTCTCACATGTTGCACTTGTCGTCGTCTCTTTTTGAGGAGTTCTCACGGTGCTGATTTGGAGAGTCTTTGGGCTGTCTTGAGCTCCTGTGGTGCAGTCTTGGGGGTCTTTTGGGCCACTTTTGACTACCTTGGGGTCCTCTTGGGCCGTCTTGGCTTTCTGTGGGTGTTTTGTGGCCGTCGTGGGGCAGTGGAGGGGCTCTCTAAGGACTTCTGGGGTTCTGGAGGCCCTCTTGGGCCAGCTTGGGGCTTCCTTGGGGCCTTCCTGGGCCGTCTAGGAGCCCTCTTGTGCTACCTTGAAGCCATCTTCGAGGATTGTTGGGCCATTTGAGGGCCCTCTGTGGCTGTCTTGGGGCCGTCTGGATCCTAAGGAAGCCTGCAACTATGAAGACCCCCCTATCTTTTAACACACGTCTGGGCACTGCTGGGGGTCCTCTTGTGGCCCTCTTGGGCCGTTTTGAGAGCCTTCTTGGCCGTCTTGAGGCCATCATGGGCTGCCTTGGGATCATGTTGGGCCGTCTTGAAGGCATCTTGGGCCATCTTGGCGGCCTTTGTTGCTGGACTCGGCCGCCCTGGTAGCCCGGGAGCGCGGATCTTATCGTTTGACACGACGGGGTTTGACCTCGGGGGCGCTGACCCATTGTCTTCTCAAGGTGCCATGGCCTTGTAGGCACGGGCCCATAGCTGTTTACAAAGGGTGTTAAAAAAAGAACACCCTTTGTAAACAGCTATGGCGACCCATAGCACGGGCCCATAGCTGGGGCACGGGCTACAAGGGCTACAAGGGCTATAGCACCCCTTGTAGGCACGGGCCCACAGCTGTTTACAAAGGGTGAGGCCTTGGCGGCGCGGGCCCATAGCTTGTTGCGAGGGGGCGTGGCCTCGGGAGCGCGGATCCAGTGCTCCGAACGAAGGAGAGGGGAGAGGGGGAGCGGTGCGCGGCCCTTGGCGTGGTGACAGTGGCAGGCCCTTCGAAAGCAGCAGGCCTCAACGTTCCAGGGGGGCACGGTGTCGGACTATTCCTTCTCCTCCTCCTCCTCCTCCTCCTCCTTCTCCTCCTCCTCCTTCCTGTTTCCCTGTCTGATTCTTCCACCTCTGGTCCTTCGGAGGTTCCCGGGGGACGTGCACGAGGTGGGGGCAGTCGTCGTCGTCGGGCATCGCTCACCCTCATCGTGGGGAGGAGGGGCCAGTGAAGTTGGGAGACCCATGCTGGCTGTGGCGGGAGGTCCCCTCGTTCCTCCAGATGCCTCCAGAGGCCTGTGGCGCAGGGGCGCGCAGCCTCGACGTGGCGGCGGCTCCAGCGCCAAGCGTTCCAAGGGGAGGGGGGGAGGGATCGGTGAGGGGGGAGTGGAAGGTGAGGGATCGAAACGTTTAGGAGGAGGAGGAGAAGGAGGAGGACGAGGAGGACAAGGAGGAGGACCAGTGGAAATCCAAGAGTCATCAACGATGTTGGAATTCACCCTCCCTGCAAGCTTCCTCTTCATAGGCCCCTACAACGGTTCATTTCCATTGAGGGAACTGCCTCGTTGGAACTCAACAGTTTGAAGATCCTGAAGCGTGCCAAAACAATGCTCTCGGGATTTCAACGCCACGTATCAACCTGACTGCTGCGTCTTGACGACCAGAATCGTGCCATAACGCCGTTTTTTGACTTCAACACAGCGAATCAACATAACTGTTGCGCCCGCATCATCCGGAATCCTGACAAACGCCATTTATGGTACGTTGATCATGGGAATCCGTGAAATTCTTGCAGAGAGCCACATTTTGAAAACGACCCGCCCTCAATCCGTGAAACTTTTGTGTGTGTGTGTTTTAGAACGAATGTGCGCGGCGCTCAGGCGAGAGCCACATTTTGAAAACTATAAGTCCTCAAGCCGTGAACCTGTTGCCACTTTTTACGTAAGCTTCAGAGTCATAATTGGTGAGGAAGTCTCAGGCGAAACGCCCGGGCCGCCCTAACAACTGGCCTTGGGGTGCGACAGGGAGGAGTAATCTATAAGGAGAAGGGGTGGAGGAGGAGGAGGAAGTGGAGGAGGAGGAGTCGGAGGAGGAGGGGTCAGAGGAGGATGAGGAGAAGAAGGAGGAGGAGGAGGAGGAGGAGGAGAGGGATGAGGAGGATATCGAGGATGATGATGATGCTGCTGCTGCTGCTGATGATGATGATGATGATGATGATGATGATGATGATGATGATGATGATGATGATGAGAGGAGGAGAGGAGGAGGAGGAGGAGGAGGAGGAGGAGGAGGAGGAGGAGGAGGAGGAGGAGGAGGAGGAGGAGGAGGAGGACAAGGATGAAGAGAGATGGAGGAGGGGGAGGAGGCGAGACGAGACGAGACGAGACGAGACGAGACCAATGACGAAGTCATGAAAGAAGTTCGGAGGCCCGAGCAACTCAGAGGAAGATGTACCCCACGAGGCCGATGCACTCCACGCACGCCTCCAGACTCGTAGTCGAAAGAACCCGTCCCCGACAGCGAACTGGAAGGATACCAAGAAGCTCGAAATCACGAACTTCACATCTACTTGCAATCCGAACCAACATGCTCCTCGGCAGTGGGTGCAGGCGGGGCGGAACTGGCCATCTCCGCCGTGGTCGCGGCGAAGTCTCGAAACAGCTCGCCCACGTTGATCTCTTGCTGCGTCGGCGTCTCCCCCGTGCACGGGGGGCTGGCCATGTTGCGGCAGAGTTCCTCCATTGTACATTCTCTCGGGAAGGCACCAAATCGACCAGCAGGAAACGATCCACCACGACCGTGAGCTGCGACAGCGGCCGCCGCCGCCTCCTGCGCTGCACGCGCAGCCGCCTGCGCCGCCTTGGCCTCACGGATCCTCTTGATCTCCAGCTGCAACCGCCACTCCTCGATGCCGCAGCCGTCGGGCTCCAGCTTCGCCTTTCCCTTCTCGCATGCCCTGATCCCAGCACTGTAGCTGTTGATGATGAAGGGCTCCATCTTCGCTTCACACCTCCCGCTGCGTGTCGTGAGGGGCTTCTGGCCTGGGTCTCCCTTCTCGCACGCGCTGCTCCCAGCGCTGTAGCTGGCGATGTCGGGCTCTTGCTTCGCCTTCCCCTTCTCGCACGCACTGGTCCCAGTGCTGTAACTGCTCATGATGTCGGGCTCCGACTTCGCCTCCCGCTTCCCGCACATTGGCTTCTCCCTTCTCTCGTTCCCTGCGCTGTAGCTGGTCACGTTGGGCTCAAACTTCGCATCCGCAAACGAGCCACATTTCGTTTTATCTGGTCCAGCCGTGGCGACGAGGGGTGACGAGGGGAAAAAGCTAGTGACAGCGATAACGGGCTCCAGCTTCGCCTCCCCCTTTTCGCAAGCCCTGATCCCAGCGCTGTAGCTGATAGCGTCGGGCTCTGTATTCGCCTCCCACTTCTCGCACGCGCGGTTCCCAGTACTGTGGCTAGCGACGTCAGGTTCCAGCTTCGCTTTTCTCCTCTCGCACGCCCTGATCCCAGCACTGTAGCGGTTGACGTCGGGCTCTATATTCGCCTCCCCCTTCTCGCACTTCTCGCTGAGCGTCGAGTGGGGCGGCAGTCTAGCTATATCTGGCTTCAGATTCGCCATCTCCTTCTCGCGCGCCCTGGTCCCAGCGCTGTAGCCGATGGTGTCGGGCTCTATATTCGCCTCCCACTTCTCGCACGCGCTGTTCCCAGTTTTGTGGCTGGCGACGAAATCTGGCTCCAGCTTCGCCTCACCCTGATCGCACGCCCTGATCCCAGCGCAGTAGCTGATGGTGTTTGGCTCAATATTCGCCTCCCACTTCTCGCACTGTCTGGTCTCGCGCTGCCACTGCCCACTCTCGTCGCACGCAGGCGCGTGTAGCCACTGCCATATGTGCGGGAGGGGGTTGAGCAGCCAATCGACATCAGCTTCCACCTGCCTGCACGTAGCCAAACGTAGCCGCCGCCACGCGCGCCTCTGGCTCTTGCTCGGGCGCCACTCCACCGGGGGCGCACACGTAAGCTCGGCCATCGACGCCTGCAACGGCTTTCTCTTCACGGCGCCGCCTCTCTCCGCGGCATGGGGGCGTCAGGTGCCCGGGTCCAGATGGCTACGCGAAATGGACCACGGCCTGAAGCCACCTGGAGGAGGGGGAGGAGGAGGAGGAGGAGGAGGAGGAGGAGGAGGAGGAGGAGGAGGAGGAAGGAGGAGGAGGAGGAGGAGGGTGAGGAGGGTGAGGAGGAGGAGGAGGAGGAGGAGGAGGAGGAGGAGGAAGGAGGAGGAGGGAGGAGGAGGAGGAGGAGGAGGAGGAGGAGGAGGAGAGGAGGGGGAGGGAGGGAGAGAGGGAGGGGGAGGGGGAGGGAGGGAGGGAGGGAGGGACGGAGGGACGGAGGAGGAGGAGGAGGAGGAGGAGGACAGGAGGAGGAGGAGGAGGAGGAGGAGGAGGAGGAGGAGGAGGAGGAGGAGGAGGAGGAGGAGGAGGAGAGATGGGGTTGGGATGAGGACATGTGGAGAGAGGAGAGAGCGAGAGAGAGAGAGAGAGAGATACAACAAAAAAACAAGAGCGATTGCGAGAAAGAGAGAGAGAGAGAGACACAACAACGAGTCCCGGGCCCACCCTTGAGGGTCGTGGCGCCGCAGCGACGCGGCGACACCCTCCAGGGGCGCCAGGACGCCGCCGCCCCTCCCTCCCCCCCCTCCGTGTTCAGCGCTCGGCAGGAGAAGTCTGGGAGCAAGGTGGAGGTGTTCAAGACCGCACAGGAGGCCGCGGCCGGCGTCGACGTCGTGTACTGCGACAGCTGGATGAGCTACGGCATCCCGAAGGATGAGGACCGTGGATGCGGGGGTGGACGCCTCTTGCTCCTCTTCTCATTTGCGAGACGTTGGAAGTGGGAGGGGGAGGAGGAGGAAGAGGGACTGAAAGGGAGGGAGAGGAGGAGAAGGAGAAGAAGAAGGCGGAGGAGGAGGAGGAGGAGGAGGAGGAATTGAAGGAAGGAGAGAAGCAGTTTTGAGGAGGAGGGGGAGGAGGAGTGGGAGGAGGAGGAGGAGGAGGAGGAGGAGGAGGAGGAGGACGACGACGACCTCGCCACCGCCGCCGAATCACATGATTCAGAATACCAGTGAAACAATTCATGATATCACGAGTAATACGGCGACGCTCCAGACCAATAGCAGTATTGGCCAGTCAACGACGCGAGGATGGCGACGACGAGGCCGGCGGCGGCGGCGATGGCGCTCCTCCCTCCTTCCGCCTCCCTCCGGCCCTCCCCCTTCCCCCCCCCACCTCCTCCGCGCCCTCCACCTCCTCCCTCATCTTCTCCTCCCGCCCCTCGGCCCCTTCTCGATTAGAGGGCGGAGGCGGGACGATGCGCCCCGTGGCCGCGGCCCGGGCGGCAGCCGCCGCCGCCCCCCCCCCCCCCCCCTACCCCGCCTCCCTGCCCCGTCGGCCGCGCCGCGGGCCGAGGAGAAGGCGAGGATAGAGATGTTCATGCCGTACCAGGCACGCTGCTGGGGCGGTGGGGTGCGTGGGGGGAGGAGGAGGAGGAGGAGGAGGAGGGGGAGGAGGAGGAGGAGGAGGAGGAGGAGGAGGAGGAGGAGGAGGAGGAAGAGGAGGAGGAGGAGGAGGAGGAGGAGGAAGATGAGGAGGAGGAGGAGGTGGAGGACGAGGAGGAGGAGCAGGAGGAGGAGGAGGAGAAGGAGGAGAGAGGAAAAGGAGGACCAGCTTATACCCAAGAGCCATCAACGATGTTGGAATAACCCTCCCTCCAAGCTCTCTCTTCGCAGGCCCCTACAACAATTTATCTCCACAGAGGGAACTGCTCGTTGGAAGGCAACCGGTTGAAAACACTGAAGCGTGTCCGAACACGGTTCTCGGGATTCCAATGCCACGGATCAACCTGACTGTTGCGTCTTGACGATCCTGAATCGTGCCAGAAAGCCGTTTCTGGGATTTCAATACCGCGAATTAACGCAACGGTTGCACCCTCATGAACCCGAATCCTTCCAAAACACCAACCCTGGTACGTTAATCATGGGAACGCGCGAAATTCCTGCAAATGTTAAAAACGAACGTGCGCGGCGCTAAGGCGAGAGCCACATTTTGAAAAGAACCGCCCTCAACCCGTGAAACTTCTGCAAATGTTTGAATATGCGCGGCGCTAAGGCGAGAGCCACATTTTGAAAATGCCCCGCCTTCAATCCGTGAGACTCTTGCCATTGTTAAGCGCGAGCGTGCGCGGCGCTAAGGCGAGAGCCACATATTGAGAACGACCCGCCCTTTATCCGTGAAGCTCTGGCAAATTTGTAAAACGAATGTGCGCGTCGCCAAGGCGAGAGCCACATTGTGAAAATGGCCCGCCCTCCATCCGTGAAACTGTTGCAATTGTTCAGCTTACGAGGTCTCAGGCGAAACGCCCGGCCCGCCCTAAAAATTGGCTTCGGGGTGCGACAGGGAGAAGTTATGTATGAGGAACGCGGGTGGAGGAGGAGAAGGCGGAGGTGGAGGAGGAGGACGCCCTCCAAACTCCGTCTGCGTAGGCCCCTACCAGGATTAATTTCCACTGATGGAAGTGCCCCTACCAGATCCTGATGTGCGTCGAAACACCATTCTCGGGACTCCAACATGACTGTTGCGTCTTGACGATCCTGATTCCTGCCAGAACACCATTCCTGGGGCTTCAGCACCGCGAACCAACGTGACTGCTGCGCCATGGCAATCCGGAATCGCTTCAAAACAGGACCCGCCATCCAACCGTGTTTTTCTGCAAGTTTTTAAGACGAATGGGCGCGTCGTTGCGGCCAGGGCTGCATTTTGAAAAGGTCCCGCTGCGCGGCGCTACGGCCTCCATCCGTGAAGCTGTTGGACATCTTGACGTCCAGTCTCCTATGTTAGCCAGCGTGGGCCCCTAAATTGTGTGTTCCAGCAGTTGATTATGTGCAGTATGTGTGGAGCAACCTATGTTGCGCCGTCAGGGTGGACCAGTGCAGGTGGTGCAATGTATGTGGTACAACCTACGTGGTGCAGCTTGTTTTGCGAAATCATGTGGGGCAGTATCTGGGGTGAAATTAGAGTGATGTTGTGCAATATATATATATATATATGGCTTACAACCTATGTGATGCAGTCTAGGTGGTCCAAAATGTGCGGTGCAATCGATGTGATGAGATCCATGTGGAGCAACGTAGGTGGTGCAAGCTACATGGTGCAACTTAAGGGTTCAATCCATGTGCTGAGATCTGGAAGTGGCTATGTCATATGGTGCAACTTTGTGGTGCAATTTATGTGGTGCAAAGTATGCTTTGCAATCTAGGCGGAGCATACTCTGTGGTGCAAGCCATGTGGTGCACTCTATGTGGTGCAATCAATCACTTGCTCAACTTGAAGCTGTCCTCTCCACTGCCCGCGCAAACAACCCACCCTCCCACCCGCAACTTGGTTTGCAAAACCTCTTAAGACCGACTACGACGACACCGACGACAACGACGACGACGACACCGACGACGTCTCCGACGACTTCGACGACGACAACGACGCCAACGCCGACGACGACGAAGACGACGACGACGCCAACGAAAGCGACGACGAGGGAGGAGGAAGGACGACGACGGCGACAACGACGACAACGACGACAGCGACGAGGGAGGAGGGAGGACGGCGACGACGCGAACGACGACGAAGGAGGAGGACGACGACGCCGACGACGACAACGACGAGGGAGGAGGGAAGACGACGACGACAACGACGACGACGATGGTGACGAAATAGAACCGACGACGAGACGCCGACGACGGACGACGACGACGACGTGGGAGGAGGAGGACGGACGACCACGGCGACAACGACGACGGAAACGACCACGACGCCAAAGAGGACGACGACGACGAACACGAGAAAAGACAGGACGACGTAGGCGACGACGACGACGACGACGCGGGAGGAGGGAGGACGGCGACGACGACGACGACGACGACGACGACGCAAGAGCGCGCGCGCACGCTTTTGTTGAAAATCCGTGTTGCGAAACCTTAGGTTTTTGTTTGTTTTTTGGTCGCACGATTTTGAAGCCCTTCCGAAACCAATGGGTTTTGAAGGTTCTCGGCATACGCCCGCGACGACGTGCGCGTCTGCACTTCGTCCCGTTTTTTGCAGAGGATTCTCGCGACGGCACACGCGCAAGGGCGTTCGACAGATTTCGACAAGCGCGCGCGAAGCCCGTTTGGTAGCATTGTGTGAAAATCTTGAAAACCAATGGTTTTCTTAAGATTTTGCAAGAGCTCGCGCGGAAGTTTTTTTAGCAAATCAGTGTTGCGAAACCATGTGATTTTGTATGTTTTTTGGAAACTCGATTGCGAAATCTTTCCGGTACCGAAGGTTTTTGAAGGATTTCGGCATGCGCGCGCGACGACGCGCGCGTGTGCACTTCGTCTCATTTGTTGCAAGGGATTCGTGAAAAAGTGTTATGTTAGAACAAACAATGTCACCCCCATAGTTTTTTTCCAAGGGAACCTCAGGGGGGGAACCCGGCCTGGCTGGGATGGTTTGATTTCATATTTAGGACGGACGAGTGGCCAGAATCATATACGATTTACATACCCGAAAGGGGAACGGATAAGTCCGGGGGGGGGTAGAGTCTATTCTCCTTTTAGAAAAGAGAATCTCTTGCCGAACTTGAAGTTGTCAACTCCACTGCTCGCGCAATCATCCCACCCACCCACCCGCAATTTGGTTTGCAAAACCCATGCGGGACTGAGCACAGATATCGCTCCAGGGTTGTTTTGGAGCCCTCGGGGGCGTCTCAAGAGCGCCCCCAGAAGGCCGGAGAAGCAAGACGGTCGACGACGACGAGGACGACGACCACGACGGCGGCGACGACGACGACGCTGACGTCGACGACGACGAAGACGACGACGCCGACGCCGACGACGACGACGAAGACGACGACGACGTCGCCAACGAAGACGACGACGAGGGAGGAGGGAGGACGGACGACGACGGCGACAACGACGACAACGACGACAACGACGACAACGAAGGAGGAGGGAGGACGGCGACGACGCGAAGCACGAAGAAGGAGGAAGGACGGCGACGCCGACGACGACAACGACGAAGGAGGAGGGAAGACGACGACGAGACGGCGACGACGACGGCGACGAAATAGGAGGGACGACGACGAGACGCCGACGACGGACGACGACGACGACGACGACGACGAGGGACGAGGAGGAAGGACGACCACGGCGACAACGACGACGGAAACGACCACGACGCCAAAGATGACGACGACGACGACCACGAGGAAAGACACAGGACGACGTAGGCGACGACGACGACGACGCGGGAGGAGGGAGGGCGGCGACGACGCCGACGACGACGACGACGCCGCAAGAGCGCGCGCGCACGCTTTTGTTGAAAATCCTTGTTTTGGTTGTTTTGTGTTTTTGTGGTTTTGTAGGTTTTTTGGACGCGCGATTTTGAAATCCTTCCGAAACCGATGGGTTTTGAAGGATTTCGGCGTACGCGCGCGACGACGCGCGCGTCTGCTTTTCGTCCTGTTTTTTTGCAGAGGATTCTCGCGACGGCACACGCGCAAGGGCGTTCGACAGATTTCGACATGCGCGCGACGCCCGTTTGGTAGCATGTTGTGAAAATGTTGAAAAACCAATGGTTCTCTTAAGATTTCGCAAGAGCTCACGCGCGTAAGTTTTTGTTAGCAAGCCAGTGTTACGAAACCCTGTGTTTTTATATATGTGTTTTGGAAACTCGATTGCGAAACCCTTCCGGCACCGAAGGTTTTTGAAGGATTTCGGCATGCGCGCGCGACGACGCGCGCGTGTGCACTTCGTCCCAATTTTTGCAAGGCAATGGATTTCAGAAACAGTGTTATGTTAGAACAGAACATGTCACCGCATAGTTTTTTCAAGGGAACCTCAGGGGGGGATACCGCTTGGCCTGGGACATTGTGATTTCATGTTTAGGATGGACATGTGGTCAGAATCATATGTGATTTACATACCAGAAAGGAAGGGCCGATAACGCCGGGGGGGGGGGTAGAGTCTATTCTTCTTTCAAGAAAGGAGAATCTATGTTCCAGACGACGGGCGGCGACGAAGCGGTGACGGGGCGACGACGGCGACAGCATAGCCGCCAGACCGACAACCAGGCCCAGACGACGGGCGGCGACGGCGACAGCATAGCCGCCACACCGGCAACCAGACGTGCAAGCACTGTTCGGAGGAAGTGGCGAGGACGTCTCAGGCGAAGCGCCCGGGCCGCCCCACTGTCACGTCGGGGGGTGCGACAATGTGGAGTGGTGTATATGGAAATGGGGCGGAAGTGGAAACGGAGGAGGAGGAGGAGAAAGAAGAGGAGGAGGAGGACCAGTGCAAACCCAAAACGCATCAACGATGTTGCAGTAAACCCTTCCTCCAAGTTCACTTTTGATACATCCTGGCAAAAGTGCATTTTCATTTCGGCACGTGCCCCTTTTAAGACAACCGTTTGAGAATCCTTAACCGTGCCAGAGCGCATTCTCTGGGACTCCAATGCCGCGAATCAACGTGACTGTCTCGCCCTGGCAACCTTAATTCGTGCCAGAGCATCACTCCCGGAATGTCAGTACTGCCAAGCAACGTACGTGAATGCTGCGCCTTGATCACCCCAGCTCGTGCCAGAACGTGATTCTTGGGACTCCAACCGCACGGCTGTTTAATTATCTGCTGCGAACTTTTAAGATGAATGTGCGCAATACTACGGCGAGAGCCACATTTTGAAGCCTTCATGCTTGAAGCGGTTGCAAGTTTTCATCTCTTATGTACGCGGTGCTAAGGCGAGAGCTACATTTTGAAAAAGGCCCGCCCTTCGTCCTTGAAGCTGCTGCATACTTTGACGACGGGTGGGCGCGGCGCTAAGGCGAGGGCCACCTTTGAAAACGGCCGTCCTCCATCAGTGAAACGACTGCGAACTTCTACGACGAATGCGCACGGCTTTCAGGCTAGAGCCACACTTTGAAACGGCCTGCCCTCCATGCGTGATTCTGTTATGCACTTCTAAGGCGGACGCACGCGGCGCTACGGCGACAACCGCATTCTGAAAACGGTCCGCCCTCCGTGCTTGAAACTGCTGTAAACTTGGAAGATGAATGAGCGCGGCGCCAAGGTGAGAGCCACATTTTGAAAACGGTCCACCCTCCATTCTTGAAGCGGTTGCAACCTTTGACGACGAATGAGCGCGGCGCCAAGGCGAGAGCCACCGTTTGAAGACGGCCCGCCCTCTTTTAAAACGGATGTCTGCGAGAGCCATAAGTGAAGACTGCTGCACACTTTCAAGACGAATGAGCGCGGTGCTGAGGCTAGAGCCACACTTTGAAAACGGCCTGCCCTCTACCTATGATGATGTTGTTGTACACTTTTAAGGCGGATGTGTGCGGCGCTGAGGCGAGAGTAACATTTTGAATGTCTCCCGTCTTTGCCCTTGAAGTTGTTGCGCACTTTGACGACGAATGGGCGCGGCGCCAATGCGAGAGTCACTTTTTTTGCAAACGGCCTCCAGTCGTGAAGTTGCTGCAACGGGGCGCTACGGCGAGAGCTCCATGTTGAAAACGGCCCGCCCTCTATCCATGAAGCAATTGCACACCTTCACACGTCTGGATGTTAATGGTGAGGGGGTCTCAGGCGAAACGTCCGGCCCGTCCTGACGGCACGTCTGGGTGGGGAGGGGGAGGGGGAGGAGGAGGAGGAGGAGGAGGAGGAGGAGGAGGAGGAGGAGGAGCAGGAGGAGGAGGGGGAGGAGGAGAAGGAGGAGGAGGAGGAGGAGGACGAGATGGAGGGCGGGGGTCGGTTGGGTGCCTTGAGAGACAGCTCGCGTGAGCAGTAAACCACCGTTTTTGTGGTCGGGTGCTGCCTCCTTCAATGTCGAGTCGGGGCGAGTCTGGCGGAGCTTGGCGGCGGCGGATTGCGGGGGAGGGGGGGGGGCGGCGAGCGCGAGGGCGGGAGCGAAAGAGGGGTTGGGCAGCGGTGGGGGGGGTGGGGTGGGGGGGGTCCGCCGGGGGGGGCGGGGCGAGTGGCCGGCGGGAGCAGAGGCGGGAGGGGAGGAGAGGGGGGGGGCAGGGGGTCGGGCCCCCGCTCGCCCTCCCAGTCGCTCGCGGCGCTCTCTCTCTCTCTCTCTCTCTCTCTCTCTCTCTCTCTCTCTCTTATATATATATATATATATCTCTCTCTTTCTCTCTCTCTCTCTCTGTTCTTTCTCTCTTTCTCTCTCATCGCGAGCCCGTGCTGCAGGCGGAGGAGAGGAGGGGTCCAACCGCGGAGCGTGGGTCACACAAGGAGAGGGAGGAGGAGGAGGAGGAGGAGGAGGAGGAGGAGGAGGAGGAGGAGGTAGGAGGAGGAGGAGGAGGAGGAGGAGGAAGGAGGAGGAGGAGGAGGAGGAGAGGAGGAGGAGGAGGAGGAGGAGGAGGCCGGAGGAGGAGGAGGAGGAGGAGGAGGAGGAGGAGAGGAGGAGGAGGAGGAGAGCGAGGAGGATGGAGGAGGAGGAGGAGGAGGAGGGAGGAGGAGGAGGAGGAGGAGGAGGAGGAGGAGGAGCAGGAGCAGGAGCAGGAAGCTAGGAGAGCAGGAGCAGGAGGATGGAGGAGGAGGAGGAGGAGGAGGGACCAGGAGGAGGAGGAGGACGAGGAGTTGGAGGATTTTTTTTGGCAGGCCTCGGAGGAGGAGCAGAGGAGGAGGAGGGAGGAGGAGGAGAAGGAGGGAGGAAAAGGAGAAGGAGGAGGAGGAGGAGGAGGAGAGGAGGAAAGAGGAAGAGGAGGAGGAGGAGGAGGAGGAGGAGGAGGCGGAGGAGGAGGAGGAGGAGTAGGCGGAGGAGGAGAGGAGGAGGAGGAGAGACGGAGGAGAGGACGAGGAGGATGGAGACTTCTCTTCCTGCTCTGCTGCCCGTCTCCTCCCCTCCCCCGCCCTGCCTGTCGTTTTTTGGGGGGGGCGTGCCCTGTCGGCCGTTCCCAGGTCGGCTGTCGCCCCCAGGTGGAGCCCTCCCGTCGGGCATGCCCCCTGTCGTGGCGGGCGGACCTCGGTCCGATGCGCCTGGCCCCGGTGGACACCAGACCTAGGACGGATTTGGTGCCGGGCCGCGGATTGAGAGGGGAGGAGGGAGGAGAGGGGGTCGAGGGAGGGGAGGGGGAGGCATGTTGGAACATTGGGGTGCTGTGGAGGCTCATCGTCAGCCTGTGAGAGGAAGAAGTGTGAGAACCCCGGTCGCTCTTCTGCGCAGGAGATCCCCCCGCCAACCGGTCTGGCCCTGATGAAGCGCCCGCCTGAATCGGGCGGTCAGGCGACGGACGGACCCCTATTGCAGCCCCAGGGCGCGGAGAGGGGAAGCGGGAGTGTTGGAGGGGGCTGCATGGAGGGGGGGAGGGAGGGAAGGGGAGGGGGGTGAGGGGGGAGGCTGCGGAGGGAGCAGGGGCGGATGCTGGGAGTCTAGGCCTCCCAGATGGGGTCCGGGCAGGTGGGTCGGAGGACCGCGCCGCATCGCCGATGCATCGCCGACGCATCGGCGATGCGGCTCGATGTGGAGCCGGATTTCCTCGACGTCGGCGTCGCCGATGCACTGCCGACGTCGCCGATGCGTCGTCGATGGCATCGTCGATACATCGTCGATGCACCGGCGATGAGGCGGGATGCTCCGATGCCATCTGCTCGGGCCCGATCTCGGAGGCCTCTGGAGAGGGAGGCAGGGAGGGGGCTCCCGCCTCTTCTGCGGATCGTGCCGCCGCTGCGCTGGGGAGGGCCTGCTGCCGTGTTGGCGTCGCACCGTGCAGATGCTGCTCCGTGCCCTCGCCTTCGCTACTCCAGATTTCGTAGTAAAAGGGAGGGGGTCTGGACCCTCCAAGACGAGCCATTTCAGACCTCCCCCGTGGGAGAACCATCCAAAACATCGTCCACAGACCCCCCAGGCCCTCCAGGATAGCCTGGAAGAGACCCCCCCCCCCGAAATGAGACCCCCCTCCCTTTAGTACGAAATCTGGAGTATACTTCTGCATCGCGCCTCGTCCTCGTCCTCGCCCTCGTCCTCATTCTCGTCCGCCGCCCCCCTCGGCAGCCCTCTCCCGCTGCTCCGGCGGCTGTCCTCCTGCAGCTGCTGGCGCCCAGCCTCCGCTCCCACGTTCGGCAGCACAGCGCGCCAGCTGTCGTCCGATCGCGTGCCCTGCCCCAGGAGAGGCCTCCCCCTCGAGGGATCGAGAGGTTGGCATCCCCTTGCCGGCGGAAGTCAGGAGGGGAAAAAACACACAGACACAATTAATCGTCGGTCCCCAAGAAAACATGGGAACATATGGGAATTGGGCGGGAAGACAAAATCGCAGACAATATAGGAAAATATGGGGAATCATTTTATTTGTGTGTATTTATTTGTGTCCCAGGGCCCCTTCAGGAAGGCGGCGGAAGGTCGGCGGGCATCTGGCGGAAGCCCGACGGTGGCGGCCTTGCGGGCGGACGGCCGGAGAAAGTAAGAGGTGCGCCCCAAGAGATGGCAGCATTTGGGGGGTTCAGGCTTTCCGGAGCCCGCCACGTATCTACCTTCCTTTCCAGAGCGTTGCAGAACGCTCTGGAAATAAATCCTGGCGGGCTCCGGAAAGCCCGCGTGCACCTGGCACATGAGGATAAATCCTTTCCAGAGCGTTGCAGAACGCTCTCAGAGCGTTCCGGAACGCCGTGAGAAGGCAGTGGCGCCCGAGGCATCCCTCAGAGGCGCCCGATCTCAGATATTCTTTGT